GCAAATATTAGCATTTGAGTTTTTCAGGATTTCAGAAAGATGTTTTAGTGCTCTCCCTCCTTCTTTCTCCCTTCCTCCCCAGACAGTTAAGGTTTTAAAACAGGCTATCTGAATTACACTGAGGAAGAACAGTACAAACCTCTTAAAATGCTTAAATATGAAGACTATCACTAAATCTAGCAAATTACATTTTGGATCAGCTTTTACTGGAAAAAAAGCATGTACCTAACTGATTCTTAGATTCTTGAAATAGTATGTAGTGACTTTGGAAATCTGTATTTTAGTTTTTCATGTGATACATTTATTATGAATTCTGTTAGTAGTCTGTTTTTGCAGCTGAAATGTGGCTTTTGAATGACAGTACATGATTTCATTGAAGTTAGTGTATTTCTGCAGGTAGGACCAATCTTCTGTATAGAAAACCAGCTTCCAGTTGAAAGGAAAGTAATTTTTAGTATGTCCTTCAGTAAACCCAGTGGAAGGTTATTTACTGTCATGGCAAATGTTCAGTTATGTAAAGTGTCACATTACTTCAGTTTCAGAAGAGAAGCTTTGAAACAGTCTGCTGTATATATCTTACTAAAATTGTGCAGCAAAATATCGCTCTGTATGTTATGGGGCTAAGTGTTTTTTTCAAGTGATTTCCCCACTCCCCAGAGATTTGTAAATAGGTGAACAGTTAGTGTGCGTGACAGAAGCCATGACTTGGGGCAGTCCTTCTCTTGTGATCTGTGAAATGGGTGACACTAGTTTTATGTTCAACTTCTAGTCCCATGTGCACAGGATTTTTTGTGTTAAACGAGGCAGAACATAAATAAGCAGAAAGTACATCTATAAGAATTTTTAAAAACACAGTCTGAGGAGTCTTTGATGTTTCAGTTTTGTCTCTAAGATGGACATGTTCTAGGAGTTACATAGCCTTGAATAGAAGCTTCTACCCCAAAATTAAGTGGTTAATAGAATTTTTTTTGAAGTTGGATAAGCAAGCATCTTAGTCCTTGGAATTTTATTGCATGCCTGGATATTTTCTTTATACTGTCAGGTATGCTGCATAAGCAACTTTTAAAAGTTTTTTTCAGGGTATATAACTGCATGTATCTGTTAGTTTAATAAAACTTTTTTTTAAACATTTCTTGTAGAAGCATTAACTATGTTCAGTGTAGGCATTGGCATTTTTGGAAGGGCCAAACAAATTACCTGTCTTAGCTATGGTTGAGATTGGGCAATTGATTCTATTTTTGGCAGCTAAGTGTATGCAAAAATCCTTTGATTATTATTTCTAGTGCTCAAATACAAATACTTATTCAGTATATTCTGTTATGATGCCTTGTTGTATTAGAGGTCATTCTATAGCTTGCAGAAAAGAAAGACATTTCTCTAGCTCAATTTGTTTACAGAAAGGCACACCCAGTGTATTTGAAATAATTTACAATTGAATGTGTCAACAATTTCTGGTGTTAACCTGTGTTTCCCTTCTAGTAATTCCCCTGAAGTGGCAGCTGTATTTAATTTTATATTTAAAAAAATACCTTGTTTTAATCTATTGCTCAAAATTAGTTTGACTGGGCTTACGTACCAAAACTGCTCACATTTCAGAAAAATATACAGTAGTTAAACCACATAATACGGAATGGAGAAAGAACCCTGTTGCCTCATAAGACAGTGTTAATTCTTTTCCAAGAAGAGGCATGTAGCTCTTTGCCTTGATGGAAGGGGTCCTGCTGCCCACTGGTCATCCTGTCTGCTGCTTCTGAGAGTGTTTCTGAATGTAAGTAGGTCTTGAAATGTACACACCTACGTGGGTTGATGTCAGGATGTAGCAAGGGTTACTTGTGGAATGAAGTCACTGATTGATTGGGGTGTACAGAATGTCACATATTTGCAGGTTCAGCCACAGAAATATTTTAAAGATTTTGAAGATGAAATATACCCTTGATATGAATAAGATCAAGTTCACCTTCTTTTTAGAATGAGGGGTAAGGAAGAAAACCCAGAATATTTAAAATCTTCTACATTTCCTAGTTTCTAGTTGGTGACTTCAAATTTTAGTGATTGTGTTAGTCAAAAAAAATGCTTTTTACTGCTTCTTAATTTGGTAGATTTTTGTCTGTTTTGGATGTGCAGTTGAAAAGGCTGGAATCTGGAAAGCCTAAGGAATATATACTCTAAGATGGCAGCTGTACCTAAGGTGGGTTTCGACGGTCAGGAGGAATAGAAATGGGGAAGAAATAACTGGTGTATGGGACAGACATGTGATTCATAAGTAGAATCCAGAAAAGTCCCTTCATTTGCTTTCATTCATATTCTTTTCTAGCCTAGAATGGATTTGAATTTCTGAATCTTGTTATTCTTCTGCTGTCAGCAAATTTTGTTGAAAATCATGAGATTTTCATCCAAGGGAAATTTCTTCTTGTTTATCCAGGTAGATAGGATGATACCTCCCACTGATGGCATATTAATGATTACTTGGAAGGATTGTATCATTCTGATGATTTAGGAGAGCTCCAGCGGGGTTTATAGTAATTTATTTTTAATTTTGCTTAAAACCCCCCATTATTCTGTAAGCTTTTAATTTTATTAATGCAGAAAAGTACAGCATTAAAATGTCAATAAATGACAGCGAAGCTTATTTGTTCATTTCATATTCCCATATGTAATTTTCCAGTTGCATATGATTTTCCTCAAGACTGGAGCCTGATTTGGTACATCAAGTGCATAATGTTTATTCCTAATGACTGGCTATTAAATATTTTGTTTATTCATTGTGTCGCCTGGGGTTCATTTACTGCGTGCTGTTTTCTGAAGACAGAAAACCTAATTCTTGAAATAAAATATTCAGTTGTCCGAACAAAAAATTAATCTATTCTCACAAATGACTGAGGTCATGCTGTCCTCATTTTCCTCAAGCTGTACAGGCAAAGGTTGAAAGCACACACACATATATATGTACATATGTATATATACAAATACACTTCTGGGAGCTTGTTTTGAAATGCTTAAGACACTTAAAATGCCAAGAGATATAATAAATTAGTAAGTTCATTTATTTATTACTTTATTATTTATTAATTTATTATTACATTTAGTTATTACTATTCCTTATCTGTTCCTTAACTGATTTCAGCTACTGCTTAAATACTGGTGCATCTGCAGGGTCTTACTGCAAGAAAGGAGCACAGTCCTGCCTTTCCCAGCCTTAGCTCCTCAGTGGGAGTTTTCTGTTTGTGATTTGCTTGCTGTTTCTCTGGGCTCTGACAGTCAAGCAATACCTGCACCTCTGTGACAGCACTGGCTGCTTACCCTTGATTTTCTCCCCATGGAGAACCTAAGGACAAGTTCTATTTACTGCATAACCAGGTTTTATTTTCAGAATATGTGTGTCCAGTGTACTCAGTGAGGCTGAAGGTTTATGGAAGTGAAAAAATAATTGGTTATATCAGTAAAAATCTGTATAGAATGGTGCATATAATGCTGCCCAAGTGAGTTTGTGCAGTCAAGCTTCATTATGGTATTTTCAGATACCGAATGCTTGACCTTTTGAATTTTGTTTTGACTCATTGAATTTTTGGGTTTTATTTGTGTTTAATATGCATTCAGTGGAATAACCAACTTTGCAAGCAGTCGGACATCCTGTGTGTGAATTTTTCTACATATTTTCACAGATCCAGACTTCTTGAGATGTGTTTTAGAAGGGTTTGAGTGATGGAAGTTGGACATAGGCAGCTGTTGCTCGTGTAGCCATTGCGCAGATGGGTGCAATCCTGCTGAACCTTGCATTAAGAAATACTTGAGGTCTGGGGGAAATTGCTGTAGCTCTACACCTCAAATTTTGTTAAAACTAAATAGAAGCTATTTCCTAGTTCGATGGTAGCAGTAGGTGTTAAATACTTGGTGTTCTGTTCTGAACTGGGCTGAGTGAATTGTCTGTAGCAGAGCCAAGCTGGCACAGAGTTTGCTTTGGCACAGAAGGTGAGTGCTCTGTGGCATCAAAATCTTGGGAACTTCCCTCTGTTGAGGGCTGTATGATGTAGTGCCATGTTAAAAATCCCATGCAGTTTTCAGCATTAGTGTTTTTGGAGTCAGTGTTGCCTATTTTTTGGGTCAAGAAATAAACACTTCCACAGCACTATCCTTTCATAAAACACAGAAACAGTTTTGCTGTGCCTTAGTGAATTGCTGAATAGGTAAGGCTTGCATAGGGCCCACAGTTGAAGTTAATGTGCAAAACTGTAGTTTCGACCTCTAGTTTGTATTTTGTTAAAAAAAATCTTTTGATGTTTTCAAAACTCTTCTATGTTTAAGTTCTCCTGTGATTTAATAACAATTTAATTTTACAATTTGTTAATTTAACAATTTAATACAATCATTGTTTACATGCTACTTTATTCTCTAGTGAATTTCATATGATTTTCTTCACTGTTCATGTAGAAGAGACTTTTAAAAATTCCATTTAATTTATATCATGAATAACATTTCTGTGTGTGACAGATTTCCATAAAATTCAATGATCAGGTGATTGTGTTAATCTTTTTTCCTGACCACCATCATTTCTTGGCTTACAGTCAAAATTTTTCTCTTAAAAGCATTGAGATGATTGTGTTTCCTCCTGTCCACTTCCCCTGTCTCCAGAGAATCATGCAAGATTTGCTTTCATTTTCCTAATTGTATGTGTCAAGAATTGAAGAAAAAGGGCTATTTCATCTTTGTTCAGAAGATATTGTAGTCTCTCATTAGAAGAGAAATTCTTAGGTATTGAAGCCTTGAAGGTTGATATTTTGGGAGCTCAATCTTCTTGGGTCTAAACAAAAAGATATAATGTGGCATTTTCCTCAGTCTGGTATCTAAGTGCATAGACTATTTTTTTTTTTTCTGAAGTTTGTTCATTGAAGTAGTTCCTGCATGACATGGAGAGCTTCCTGTATAATGCTTTTATTTCCAGAGATCCCAAAGACTTGGACTAGAAAGCATTTCTTGATTTATTATTTCTTTTTCCTCTTCAGGCTGCCTATCTCAGCAAATGTTAGAACTGAATATGCTAAAAAATACAGACAAGCTGAGGAACAAGAGCTGAATGTAGCTGGACATGATCAACTTGTCTATAAAACAGGTAAAAAAAGAAATAAAATTATTTCATTCCTATTATAAACTCAGATACACCTGTCCTTTTTCCTCTCTGTTGTCTTTACGTTATCTTCCTCTCTAACTTGAATGTACTTGTTTATTTATTGATAGACGTGTTTAGTTTGTTATATATAAAGTGTGATATTAAAAAGTAAACTCCTTATTTTCTGAAATCCACAATGTACAATGCTGGTAAATGCATAGATAAATATGCATACATATAGCTTGTTGTATTGATAAATGCAGAAATGTGATTAAAATAAATCTGCAAGGAAAATATAATGCTCATTAGATTCATGCCTTTATTCTGTTTTCCCATTTTCTATTCATACTTCTCTGTGTACTTGATTGTTGCTTTGAGCTGCCTTTAGAGAGACATTGGATTGCACTTCTTTCGTAGGAGCTCTGGTAAAAGCACTGTGAGGCTGACTCGCTTGTCAGGACAGCTCAGCTTCAAACTCTTACTGTGCCTCTTAATTTCCAGATTTGTTAATGTGGCTGATTTCCTGAGAAAAGGACATTTATGTTTTATCTGTTCTGTCGTTCTCTTAATATTTTCTGTATACCTTTCCTGGCATACCAAAATGTGACAAATTGAGATATTTTCTAGAAATTATTGTCCTTCAGTGCATCTGCAAATTCTCTGGCCTCTGGAACTCAGGCTGATGAAGCCACTTGAGGGATTTGTCATCAGCTGAGACACGGTAGTGGCACTTGGCGCTTGCACCTCGTCTTCTGTCCTAACCACAAAATGCTGTCTCTACTTCCCTTGACATTGTATAAAATTTGAGGGAGAGAAAGTATTAAAAGGTGGAAATGGGGGAATAAAGAGACTGGAATGAGCTTCTAGTGTTGTCATTCAGGAATGACATTTTCCTAGTTCTTCACGGGCTTTCCTGACAAAGGAGCAACATGTTGAGTAAGATTAAGTTCTGTAGATGTTTCTTTAATAATACAGTGGTACTGATTAATGCAAGGAAATACCATAGCTCATTCAGTATCTTTTACCTATTAAGTCAGAATCTTGTATAAAATAGAGTAGCAACTTCAGCAGCACTAAACTAACAGTGGCCTGCATGACTTGAATGGGAGTGATGCTAGCAGTTTTCCTTCTGTAAAAGAATCAGGATTATAACTTAGGCTTTTTATCAAATACTTCTGTGTAGTCATCCTGGTACTTTATTTTATAAGTACCTATTTTCTCTTGGTCTACCCTAAAATATTTGTCCTTGAAAATTTACCTTGTAATATTTACTCTTGCCTTCCAGTTGTAACTTACTGAAACAGCATCTAGTTAGCAAACAACCATAAATAATTACTAAAGTGTCGACATATTACATAATCTCTTATTATTAATCCATTGCATATTTTCCTCAGTTCCTTTCCCCCCCTTCCCCCTGTTCTGTTCTCTGTCTGTCTCATTGTCTGGAGTCTCAGTTGCTTCAGGAGCTGTTCTGTGCAGTGTTGATGCCTGCCTGCTCTCATCAGTGCTCTGCTCCCAGCGGTCTGTGATCCAGTGACAGAGTCCAAGCAAACTGGAGAGTGACAGGACTGGAACATTCCTACGGCATTCTGAGACTGAGCTGCCAGATCCCACCTAGATGTAAATAAGATAAAAGCTTCAGAAAGTCCTGGTTCTTACTGCTCTTAACTTTGAGTTATAGACAGAAATACTGTGTTGGGACAGTAGAATAAAAAAGTCAGCATAAGAATTGTATGGTTAATTTTATAGCTTATAAATGTGTATGTTCTACATTTGAGACTGCTTTTCTCTAATACAGTATGCTCATCATTCAAATTTCAAGAGCTTCAAGATGTATTTGTAACTATCAGCTATATTGATCTGAAAGTGAATGTTTTCCTCAAGAACATGAAAACTGTCATAATTGATCAGGGATTCAGCTAGGCTAGGACCTATGAGTTGACCTGTGTTGAATACAAATGTAATCAAGAAATAACCTTCATAACATGGAAATGAGAAAATAATTTTTTCTGAAGATTCTGAATTGGTACCCCTTCTGTAGCTTCTTTCTCTGAGTTGCTGTTCTAACTTACAGGCAATATTTTCTGTGCAAATTGATAGCCTGTTTTAAATCTTGCAGTTGCTGAAACTGCTTGTGCCTTGTTATTTAATGAAATTCTATTGAGTTTAAGTGCTGTGCTTTCCAATTTCTTTGAAAGAGTATGTGCTTTCATACTGAGAGGACAAACAAAAATGCCTGATCTGCTTCTATGCTGGGGAAAGAGATCACCAGGGAACTTCAGAGTTCTGGCTTCTGCAGAGCATGGTAGAAATGATACTGCTGTGCAAAACTGAAGTGATTAAATAAAAGCAGAAGAAAAGTCTTTGTCATAACTGTTAGACAAAATGAGTAGAGCATTAGCAATTCTTGTCTCACCAGGCTCGCTTCACATTTGGATCTTCCAGGCTTCACACACTTTGGATTCAGTGAGGTCGCGGGGTGTTGTGCAGAGGGAAACCTTCCAGAGCTATGTGTATGGGACACTTACCTTGTAGAAAATATTTTTTTTCCAAATTTTGGAATTCTGAACTGTACAGGCTAGAGCTTTGCACTTCAGAAAGCTTCTAAATTCTAAAATCCTTAGTTCTCTCTTTTTTTTTTCTTTAAAGGACACATAGAATTATTTTCATGAAGCTTTGTGGATGGCAGTTTTTTTGGTTGTTTTTGTTTTTTGTTTTTTTCTTTTTTCCTGTCTTCATGATTTTCACTCCATTAAATGGATATCTTCTGGAGGTCTTCTAGGTCCCACCTGAAGTAACTGCTTTCAGAGAAAAAGAAATTCAGACATTGTTTCTGATACTTAAAAATTCAGTTTCTTATATATCTTACACATTTTGTACTCAGAACAGATGATGCATGCCAGGAAAATTAATCATAGCACAGATCCTCACCCCAAAACCTTTTGTATATAAGGTATGTACAAGTTGAAGAGGATTGCAGTAGAGAAGTCTCACCAGACAGGTATTTCCTTAGGATTTCTCTGAATTAAGCTCTTCAAGGATCGGTCAGCAGCACCTTCATGTACTTGGTGTTTGACTGCTGTAGCACCATGTTCTGCGAAGTCCTGCTTTTTGGCTCAGTGTAGGAGTCATTTGTTACCTGTGGCTTTTCTGTCCTGTGAGCTTCCATTGAAACTGTAATCACTGTGTAGCTCAGCAGAAGCATGATCAGTGATTCAACAAGCATCTCATTTGATTCATCTAACCAGTACATTGAAGTAAATTTTTTTTTAAGCATCTCATTTTAATTGCAGAACTGGTGAATATAAAAATCTAATCTTATGTTAAAGGATATCTTTAAATTTGATTCAGACATCTGCTGTATGGGCTGTTATAACTGAGATACTGGAAAATCGCTCTTTCCATGGGCATTGGGCGATTTTAGTCATTGACATCTTTAGAGGACTTTCATAATAATCAAAAAGGAGGTTAACAGGCAAAATCATCTTTCCCACAACTGAGTTTTCAGTTTCTTTTTTGCACCGATTCTGAAAAGAGAAATTAATATTATTTATTCTGGACTATTAACTCTTTTATTAATGCTTCTTATACACTGAAATATTTTGCTTGTCCTAAACCAGCATGGGGAGCAGTTGCCTGCTTCTTCAATTTATTATTTTCAGGTTGGAATAATCCTGCATTTTATGTCAAAATCCAAGGTGCAGCTTAGAGCACAGTGCCTTACCAAGGTGTGCACTGGTTGTGTCAGTTGTCCTGCTCCTAGTAGTGTTTTTCAGAAAGTATAAGGTATTGAAAAAGCAAAAAGTTCCTGCCTTCCTTGTTGATAATTCTGTAGACCTCTAGCTGAATTTTTAGATGCGTCTTTATTGGCAGGATGACCAACTTTTCTGAAGACCAGTTCTCACTGGGGGATTTGTTGCATATTAGATAAGAAAAATAGAAAAACCCCAAGCAAATCTAAAAATTTAAAGGTAATTACATTGTATGGTATAGAATACACAGCTGAATGGTTATTTAAATCAGTAGAATAAACTTTCATCAGAGTGTACATTCAAATGTTCTCCTTTGCAGCAGGTCTTCCTGGTTCAACTTTCATGTTTAAAAAATAAAGGTGAAAGTGTTAAGGTCTTTTAAGATGGTTATTCAAGTTCCCCATCTCAATTTAATTTTGTTTTTAACTAAGGATCATAATAGATTTCAGGTGGTATTTGTCCTGTGTTGCTGGTTGCGTCATGTCAGTGTTCATCTTAAGTTGCCAGTTTGCTGAGGTCAGAACTGTTCTGTCTCTGCAGACAGAAGTCTTAGAGCTGTTGTGGTATTAATTCCCCAAGCAAACTCAGTATAATATTTCTCAGTTTAAGTACAGAAGACATGTCTTGAAAAGAAAAAAACCCAATCCATACAGTGTTTAGGACTTGCAGCATCTGCTGAATGGTTGTATGGCTGTCAGTTCTTAAACTCTGCGTGGTGATTGTGGCTAACATAGGATCAGCATTCACTTCTGCTGTCATTTTTTTTCCAGACTCCTGTGCTTAGTAAGATGTTGCTGTCTTAGAAATGTTATATAAAAAGCACTATTAAAAAAATGTTATGTTTCATCAGTGAAAAAAAATGATACATACAAAATTAATTCAATTGTTTTTCAGCAGGTATGTGAATACTGGTGGCTCTTTCTTTGCTTCTGGTTTGTTCCAATGTGTTATTTAAATAAAATTCTTAATTAAATTTGAGATTAATGATTTCTTACTAGTATACTGAGGTTTGTACTGAATTACAGAGGGTTATTGTATGAATCCTACCTTTTGAATTTTGTGTGCATCCCTCCTTATTTATTAAAAAATATTACTATTAAAAAGATACTTTCTTCTTTTAACATTTTATCTTTTCAAAATTGCAGCTGTTTCTTTGAAAACCTGATAGAGGTGGGAAGGTTATGTTGCTTTAGCAGGAATCTGCTGACACTGGGATGTGTTCCCTAGCAGCTTGAGGTTTCTTCCAGCATTGGTCAAATCACACACAGCTATGGATGTCTCAGTTGTGACATGTTTGTGCCAGAGGGGAGCCACTCAGCCTTCGTGCAGCATTGCTGTGGCAGAATGCTATATATATATGAATTTTTAGGGGGAACATATTTAGAAACTTGACCAAAAGTATTTTAAAAAGGACAGTTAATACTTTGAAGGGGTGCTGCTATCAAGTTCTGGTTTTGTTTGTGTTTAGCGGTGCTAAGTAGATCCTTGTGCAGTGATCACCTTTCACTATTGCCTTACAAGAGTCCAAGTAAAAGAATTTTTCCTGTTGCAGAATATGGCTTTAGGAGAACTCTTTTAGTGAGCAATCCAGCTTTTGAGGCCTTTGTTTTAGTGTTAGAATAAATTAACTTGTATTCCTTGATACTTGGAGACAATTCAGGGGCAAGGAACACTTTGAGGTAGGGCATGGAACTATAAGATGCTGCTCTGCCTGCTTCTGCTTCACTGCTGTCTGAGATTGTTACAATTTTCCAAAGAAAGGGAGCTGTAACTGCAGTCAAGCATTTAGGCTGTAGCCTTTCTTTTAAAGTAATTATTGTCTTTGTAAAAAGAATAATAGAATTCTGTCTCACTATATTTCTTAGCAAATAAAGACATAAAAAGAGCTATAGGGTTTTATTACCTCCATGAAAGTATCCATTTCACCATAATACCTGGTGAAACCTATTTGAAATGGAAATAACTTCATTTCTTGATTTTGTTATGCTCTGGGTATTTTAGCAAAATTGTTTAATTGTAACCTGCAGAATTATTGTTTACCACAGTCTTGTCCAGGCTTTCCCCTTCTGCACCTCCTCACCTGTTTTTTGTTTTCATGGTCAAAGAGACTGCAGACCTCTGAGCAAAAACTTATGCTTGTACTGAAAGATTTTTGTCCTGTATTACCCAGTAATTATCAGTGTAGTATCATGCTGAAAGGTCATTATGGTGCTCAACAGATTTTAATGGCCAAGTGTTAGAAATAGAATGGTTTTCCTGTCAAATTGTGGGTGATTTTGTACCATGGATCCAGTAGACTTCAGGGAAAAAACACGTGTACAGGACTAAGGCGTATTTTTTTCAGTATTGTAAAGTATTCTGGGATATACAGGTAGAATTTATAGTTGTAATGCAAACTGAAAAAATCCAGTTTTTAAAATTAGGAGAATAGCATAGGGAGTTGTATACATCTTTCCACTGATGGTGGCTTACACATACAAGCAGTGTTTGTTTGGAGTTGCTTCCAGTAAAACAGTAGTTGCATAAACACAGAAAATCTCTTCAATCTACTAATATTAAAAAGTGCTATTTCTATTAATACTTAAAGTATGCAGTTAAACTTTTAGAGAAGTTAGGTTTCCAAATACTGTTGTTGCAATCTCCTGGTGGTTCTGTTTCTGGATTGAAAAATGTGATTCTTGGTTATTTTTGTGCCTAGGTACTTCATTGTCTCGGCGTGAATCAAGTGATTCAAGTTCTATATCAATAAGTAAGTGTAAATATTTGGATATGCCTACAGCCAAACACAGGGAAAAGGTAATGTCATTGTACTTTCTCCCATGAACTAAAGCTGAAAATAATGTTTTATTGTGGCTTTGGGGTGTGTTTTTGTTCATTTGTTTCTGTTGTTGGTTTTTAAAGGAAATTCTGTTCCTGCTTTAAACACTGTACAAAACTTTAGGATTTTTTACAAAACAATTGCATAAAATTTCATAAGAGGAAAAGCATTGGTGTTACACTTTCTACTTATAGTATTCATGTAAAATATGTACATGAGTGTGTGCCCATATTCTTTTCTGTGATCTTTTAATGCACTTTAGGATTGCATTTATCTCCAGATGCCTACAAGATGATAGAAAAGATGGCACAGTGTTTTGCAGAGCCTTGCTTTGTGGCTTGGAAGCTGTTGATATTTCAAATCTGTTTGAAACCTGTTTTGTTTTGTAGACTTACGAATTTTCTTGAAAAATTGTTTCAGATAGTGTCTCTGATACAAAACAATTCAGTTGTGATTGTAGAAGGAGCGACTGGCAGTGGAAAGAGCACACAGATTCCACAATATATTTTGGATTATTGCATGAACCAGTCTGTGCCCTGTAACATTGCTGTTACCCAGCCTCGGAAAATCGGTGCCAGCAGCCTTGCTCGGTGGATTAGCAAGCAACGCTCATGGACACTAGGTGGATTTGTAGGATACCAGGTATGAGAAAATTTCAAACTGTATTTTAAAATGTATTAAAAAGTACTATGTGTTCATTCTTGATTACTTTTAAGCATATCTAGCATACTGAAGAAACGTCAGAAAATCTTCTTCTGAAATGGAATTGCTATTTTTTATCTGTCTCCTGCTAAATGTTTGTAATTAAATCAACTTGTAAATTTGAACAACTATGAATCCTGGTGGGACTCCTACAGAAAATATTTCTCTGCATCAGATATGTCTACATTATCAATCACTGAAATTTTTGCAAGAGAACTATGTTCTGTCATTTTTTCTTTTAACTCCTTAAGTAACTTATTTTATCTGTTTGGCTTTACTTCATTTACTTGTCAGCTCTATCAAACCTTTAATGCATTTACGACCACGTTCTTTTGTGAACAATCTCTTGTTCCTTTTTAACATGTGAGAAACTCTAACTACTTTTTCCTCTTAAAGCTGTCTCCTCCTTTTGCTTTGTTCAGCTCAGCTGCAAGCTCAGTTCTGTCCCTCTGTTAATGAACTTGATGCCACATTTCTTTTTTGACAGCTCATAAAAGTACAGGTCCTGGTGCTTTTATGAGCTCCTTGTGAGTACCCACACTAAGCTGTTGTGGTACTGGTTTCATTGTGGGTTAGGTCACAGCTCTCTCTGGACGAGCTGCTCTGGTTCTTTAGGCCAGTGTTTTCACAATGCTATTGAAAATGGGAGGGATGTTCACAGAGAATTTTCTGCTTCTGGAGTCCTTTGCTGGGAGGAATATTTACTGCGTTCTTCTTCTTCTCTGCTTCATTTTATTTCTTGTTGTTTCTTCCTTTCTTTCTTACACTTAGGGTTATATGTATATGTTTGCTAGCATGCATTTAGAGGTTTCTGTTTCTTCATAAGTCTGCAGCTTCAGGTTACTTCCTCATATGTTACATGTGGTGCTGTTTATTTGTGTTTGGTGTTCTTTGTTACCCTTAAATCTGGTTCTGTAAAGTTTTCAGGTCTGGAAGAGTTTGATTTTTAACTGAGAGTGGCAGAGTTGTTCATAGCATGGGCTTTTACGTGTTGGTCTTCTGCTTCATCTGTTACCCACATCTGCTTTCTTCTGTGCCACATCATAAACATGACAGCAATAATCAAAACACCAGTGTTACCAACATTATTCTCATACTAAATCCCAAAACCACAGCACTGTACCAGCTACTAAGAAGAAATGTGCTCTGTCCCACCCAAAACCAAAACAGTTACGTATGTTGTTTGTTTCAAAGTAGGTTATATATAAAGCCTTTGTTGCTGTTTTTGATACCTTGAATTAATTAGTCATAAAGTTGCTGAATTGATTCATTAGGCTAGTGAGTCTCAAAGACTTAAAATGATACTGTACTTCCAGACTGTCTTCAGGACAGTAGATGTGGATGTGCTGTGCTTGTTTCACCAGCACTTGTGTGAGCTGAGTAGAAACAGAGGGAAATGGTGGAGAGCAGATGTGTCTGCTCTAGGCTGATGGAAAGCTGCACAAGAAAAGATGGTCACAGCTCTGCCTGCCTGGGTGGGTTACACATGAGATAGCTAAAGTTACACAAGTATGTTAGAAATCAAAAATCTGTTCATATGGGGTTGTAGAACTTTTCTCTCAGGAGTAAGTTGATCTTGGTGATAACTTGAACATCTTTCCTTCTCCTGTCCTATATACAAACCACATTTTGGCAAAATCTTTTTCTTGCTCTCTATATCAGTGGAAAGAGTGATGTATGTATGTACCTTTAGAAGTCTGAAGAATTCCCAGTTTAAAGTCACAGCAAGGAATTGGCATTTTACATCTTTTTGAAATTTCTCCCGAAGTAAAACCAGTTAATTGGTTCTGGTAAGAACACTCCGGTATGGAGACTTGTGCAAGTTTGAGTAAATAATTTTGATGCATTTACACTGTGTTTGATTTTGGAGTTCTTTCACATGCATGCTTCTTGTAACTACAATTAATCTGTTTTCAGCTAGTATGTACATTTCTTACTGTTGTTAGTTAAGTTTAGAGAATGTTTGGACAAAGGAGACGAGGTTGCTGTATATGACAACGGGAGTTCTTCTTCAGAAAATAGTTTCTGCCAAGAGCCTAACTCAGTTCACGCACATTTTCATTGATGAAGTAAGTTGCTGGAAGTAAGTTTAATTTTCATATTAATAAAGACTTCTCTTTTGTCTCTTACCACACAAGAAAGGAGAAATGCAGACATCTACTTTTAAAGATGTTTTATATAAGTTGTCTAAGGTAACACTTGCTGAAATAGGCTTGTCAGCATTCCTTTGAGCAACAGGTTTAGAACTGAGGGTGTGGGGAGTACTTTTGGGAGTCCTTAACTTTTAATAGTAGAGGTACCTTGAAATGTTTTTTGGAATCCATCTTGTGGAATTCAAGAACCTGTCCATCTAGGTGTGTCATGGGGAGGCAGCTACTTTTCACTCACTTGAATATTACAAAAACTTTATTTTGCAGGGATGTCCTGAAAAATATCTCTGTGAAAGTTCTGTTTCCTGGTTGTGGGTACAGTTCGTTCATGTGGATTCATTATTGCTGCCATCACTTCACTAAAAAGCTAAAGCAAATACACTTGTAATTTGTGTACATTTACATGTGTATATGCTTCTTTTATGTGGAAAGCAATATTTGACTTTCAATCAATAGTTAAATGTGAAATTGTGCTGTCACAAACCATAGATATAAATCACATGTGGGATGTATGATATCTTGGGATGTAGTAATACAGAAGGGGACGTAGGGGTTTGGAGTTTTTTTTGGAGAGTGGCTGGTTGGTTTTGGAGGATTTTTTGTGTTTTGTTTTAGCATGTATTTTTTCTAAGTGCCATTTTTGATTTTTATCCTGTTACTGGTGTTGTAGCTGAAAGCTGCTTGAATTCTTGGATATTTGAGGATCGGGGAGACAGTACTTAGTGTTCCATTAGACTATTATAGTAACAAGGCTGTCATGACTTCACTTAAAATGGTACAGTGCAAACCTGGAAAAGATTAAGCAGGTAGTTACATCTTTTGTATGAAGAAAATTTAATACTTCATTCAAACAGAAAAAGAACAAAAACCCCCCAAAGGCTAAGGAATTGTATCAGTGGCCTTCATGGAAAAGATTTGAGCACTCCAGTGTATTAGCAGAGTGTTGGAAGCCTTAACATTTCCTTTAATAAGGAAATGCAGGTGAAATGTAGGTAGAAAAGCTGAATCATAGAAGGTGCATACATAGAAAAGTGTTATTGTTCATTTAGTTTTAAGATTTATTCATTACATATGAAAATGAATGAGTGAAGTTTTCTGGCCCCTTACATAGGAGAATGGGTTTATGCAGAGGTTTTTCAAACTGTTTCTTGGGTGCTGTAATTTGAACTGATGTTACTAGCTTGTTCTACTTCTTTGAGCAGCACCTGTCTGTGTGTTTCACTTCTCCATCCAGGATTCTGGTCCCTCCTGTTTCCCATATGCCATCTTTTCCCCTATACCTACTACAGAGATTGTGATCTTGAGCCCAGAATCACTGTTTTTAACAACTTAATGTTCTCCATGACATTTTTAATTGCATCTTGGCATCTTTCAATTGAGTCTTATCCCTCTCAGAGTACTGCAGACATTTAGGAGCACCCTTAAACAAACTAGGACCAAAAATCTTGATGTCTCACCGCGAGACCTTACTGTCAGCCTAAAACTACCTTGGCTAAATTTGTTTTTGTAGTGGGACAGCATTGAATCGATGTCTTATCATTATATTATATTAGAATATGCTAATTAGCTTCCAGGACATGAATGTTGACTTGTGAAGGCTAAACTCCAGAAAAAGCTGCTGCCCTTTATTTAAACTAATTCAAGAAAGGGATATGGTCATCATGGATAGTGATGGAAAGAAGTATTTGCTGAACTATAAGGAGCAGGCAGAAGGCTCAGGTGCTAAGATATATAAAGAATTGGGTATAAATTTATGTTCTAGGAATGAGTCGTGTACTTGGATCATAGGTGGAAGCCATTGGGAGTGATGCACATCTATTAATTTTGCTTAGTTTTCAGACAAACCAAAACAGTCCCTGGATCTTTTGGGATCTTACCAGTACAGTTGATTTATCAGCATCAGTATTATAGACTTCATCTGTTACTGTCAGCTCTAGTACAACTGGTAGTTAGAGCTCGAGATTGATTTTTCTAGTCATTATTCAAGATTTGCTTAACTTTAGAGTAACATGATTTTCACAAAGGGTTTTGTAGTCATCTGAAGACTCTTGTTGGGTTTTTAAAGTGTTCTTAACATGCCTAGGCTCAAAAGCTTTCTTCTATGAAAATATATTATTTCAAGTTGCAAAAATAAAGCATGAAATTGAATGGGAAAGTAAGAGGCTGTCAAAAAGAAGAGGGTAGATTAATGAAAATTAAATAGTGGATAATGTCTTCTAGGTGCACGAACGTACAGAAGAAATTGATTTCTTGCTCTTGGTGACCCGTAAACTGTTGTGTACAAATTCACAGTCTGTAAAGGTAGGTTCAAACTGTATTCTGCTGGTTTTTCTTGCAAGAAAACGTTTGCGTGTCTTTCATCTGTGAAGGCCCTATTTTAAAGAATTGACCATGAATTACTATGTTACTGCTTTTTATTAAATATTACTTAGTTTGCCACTCCTCATAAGTAAGCAAGCTAAGGGGCATTCTTTTCCTGGCTGCTGTAATGTGTTCTGAGAGACTTCTTTTTCTTCCCCCCTCATGTTAAAATGCATTAGTTTCTAAAGCCTGCTTAAGGCTAAAAAATGCACGATGGATATTTGACTAGAATTACGTTTTGGGTATTGAGGGCAGTGCTCATCCTTGGTTAAAATGGTAGCATTAACTCCTGGAAATACTGAGCCTTTTTGTTTAAGTGGGACGACGTATTTGTAGAAATAGCAAAAGACCAGAACTTCTGTACTGTAATTTCTGGGCAGAACTGGTAGTAAAATGTGGCTGAGGTTTTTCTCTCCATGTTAGGCAATTCTGCTTTGTACTGAAGCAGGATTCACAGACATTTAGCATGACATATTTAGTCTTTGGGGTCAAAGTAATGAACTCTGGAAATGTTACAAATTAAATGCAGGTGATGGAGTTAAGCTAACTCAGTATCTTTCAGTGCAGATACTTTGTGAGACTGCATGTCTTCTAAGTGCTTCAAGTTAATGGTTTAATGTGAATTTTTCTGTTCAAAATAGAGTCTAGGTTGGCTGTTTGTGTTGCCATTGGAAGGGAATGTGTTCTTATATGCAGTGCATCACATTGATACGAACTTGGTCTACAGGTCTTCCAAACATGCTGTCACTGAAAGTGCCCTTTCAGTTGGCATAGGACATGGCTGTGTGCTTCATATCTTTCACTTTTTATTCCTTTTCATGCTGATCTAGATTTTAAAGAAAACTCTTGTCTTTAAATTCAGACACAGTTATGTGAAACTATTCAGCCTTTTTTTAGCACTTGGCTCTGCCTATTGAGAAGAGCAATAATTTGATCAAACTGAGTTTGTGAGAAGTTTGCCCTTTATTCTGATTATTGGGTTGGTTTCAGTGGCAGGAATCCCTACAGGCCCTATCATCTTTTCTGTTAGAGGTTTCTGACAAATTTTTCATTTACCTTTGTAGTTCCATTTCAGTCTCTTGAAATTGTCACGGAAAAATGTTATCCCCTTTATATCATTCTCTGGAATTGTTTCTGCAGATGAGAGTTTTTAAATATTGTGCAAACCTGAGGGAGACCTGTATTTGAGAAAGTGGAGGGATGAATTGAATTTTTTTATGTTGAAGAAGGGGGAACTCTTGATCTCACTTATTGGCCTTGAGCAGAGTGGAATTGGCTATTCAATTTGAATTTATATACAAAGCCCAGTGTCTCCTACTTAATCTCTTTTCAGTCCCTTCTGAAATACTGTAAAGGAAGGGAGCTTTGATGTAGCAAATTCATTTAGAAAATGCAAGATTCTCCTCCCATCCTCCCTGCATTCATTCAAAAGGGTGCAAGGATCCCTATTTAAGAGAGGAAAGAAAGCATTTTTAACTAGAGTGGCATGAAGTACACATGAGGTGTTTGTTTCCTGGTTTGGATGTTGGAGACCTCAGAGTAGCAGGTAATTTAACATTGCCTCAACTGACAGGAGTTAGTTGAAAGATTCTGATGTTGATTCTGAGGACAAGATCTACCTGCTGAACTATTTAACTGTTAGATTGTGCTGAATTTTCTGGCAGATGGCTGATGCAGATTATTTTTAGATCGCAGAGCAGATACTGGATTGTTGTGAGGTTGATCTTGCTGGGATTGGGTTGTTTAAAGAAAGCCTTGAGACTGAGAGTGGGTCTATTGGGTCAAACCAAACAGTGCAGTTTCCATAGTGACTAGGAACAGTTCTGGGTATCATCTAGTGCATCTTTGGACATACCCATGTTGTACAAGTGGTTTTGGACTGCTTGATCTTGAACTGTCTTCTTAGATTACCCTCTGTTTTGACGTGTTCATCTGCTGTGTTGGTGATATGTGCTGGTTGAATTTTTGCTTTAAGAGTACATTAAACTCTTGGTTCAGTTATGTGACACTTCAGGCATTCTGTTAAGAATCTGTCATTTTTTTCCACTTTGGAAGGATTCCACACAGATTAGAGTCCAGATTACAAAGATTGTCTAGGAGAAAGGGTCATTAATATTCCTTGTCTGTAACTTCAGATTTAGATTGGATTTTGTTTCCATAGCCCTTAGAGAAGGTTGCATTGAGCCTAATGCCCTGGCACAGGTGAGTCATTATCTGTTGAGCCATGAGGCAGTCCATGCTGGAGTGGTACAGATTTCATATATTTGCAGAATTATGTCCTTTCAAATTTCTCCTTTCAGGATCATGTTGGAAAACTTCATGGTTTCACCTGCCCTCTCCATGTGTTCCTTGTGCCTTCACATGGAAAGCTTCAGCTTTGGAGCTGAGCACAGTGGTACAATGCCCCCTTCATTAGTTTGCCTTCCTGTTGTTTTGTAAAGGGGATGCGTTTGTGTTTTGCAGCATTACTGGTTTGGATGGTGAGATATCAAGAGTACTGTATGTTTTTGGTTGAATTTCCACTGTGCTTTCTGCCCTAGGCATTCTAGCCAGAGCCATTCTCTTACAGAGCTTCTCTACACGTGCTGGTTAAGGTATCTTAAGCATTTAGCTTGATTCTCTGAAATGTACTTAGGTTACATACCTGTAGTAACCAGAATTAGATCATTTAACATGAAGAGGAAGTGGAGAGTCCCACATAGCAGGATAATTTGTAAAAATTAATGCTTTACATTTTCTGTACATGTTTTTTAACAGATAATACTGATGTCTGCTTCCATCAACTCCAAAGAATTAGCTGATTACTTTGCACTTCCAGTTCATAATGGCTTGAGTCCAGTCTGTGTATTTAAGGTGGAGGGCAGACCTTTTGCAGTTGAAGAATATTATCTTGATGATTTGAAGGACATTTTTGATTTCCAGGTATTGTAAATATAATTTCATTTTTTGTACATAATAAGAAATTTAAATAGTCAGTTGAAAACCGTGTAATAGAATGGCATATAGCCACTTTTATATTGCAATTCTAGGTAAGAATTAATAGATAATGATAAATCAGGAGTCTTCGTATGAGCAGACTAGTTTCTGTCATGAAACAGAAATGTTTCAGTGGTATGAGGCATTTTGTTTGATAGTTGCATTCAAGATGAACAATGTAAAATTGAGTGTGGAAAGTAACATAAATAGATTTGCAGATCTCTTTGAATATAGCTGACAAAATCAGGGAATATTTTGTGGGTTGGTTCATGTTGTTATGTATCAAAGGCAGAAAGTGCTACGATATGAAGAGAAAACAAGCATTTTTGATTAGAACTTTGGTTTTACCAAGTTGGCTTCTCTATCAGCTGGGGTTTTCTTGTTTTTCTTTCCTGTTTCCTTTTTTAAATAGTGCAGAAATGTTATGCAATGGTTTTGAGCCTATTTCTGTTGTAACCGTGTAGGCCACCATGGTAAATGTGATGGCAAATGTAAAATTTTGAGTACTGAGAACATGTTAGAATTACAGATACCTCTCAGATCCCTGGTAGGCTGTGCTGGAGAACTGCTTCTCTGATGCCTAAGGAGGGAAGGTACTGGCTGAAGATACATTTGCTTTATCAATCTAGTTTATAAGCTGCATGGAATGTATTTTGTATATTTTGTTTTTATACCTCCTGACATTATAGTAAGTATCTCTGTAGACATCAGGTAATGAAGGAATGAATGTAAATATTGATTTAATTGAGTTAATCTGTTTTCTGTGGTTTTATAATAGGAGTTTGTTTTGCATTTGAAAAACAGCTGTGTAGGAATTCACTTGAGTGAACTCTTTCAGTATTATGGTTCAAGGCAAAAAAAACAGGTTAAAGCAGAGTACAACAAATGTACTTAGGTCTATATTATGATACCCAGTCTAAAAATAACTGGGACATGGATGTAGTTATTGGTCAGTTTTGATAATTCAAAACACTATTAAAATGTTATTACAATGAAGAAGCTGGGGGATGCACTTAAAAAATTGCAGTGGGGAACACACTGTTATTTAGCTTTCATCCATCAATTCTGCAGAAAATAACACAATAAAATAGGAAGCCCAGAAGAAAATAATTGCTTATGCAATTACACATGGTAGTAGTACACAGCTCAGACATTGGTTATGCCTCAACACAGTAAAGGTAAAATAAAAGTCAACCATTGAAGTTTCAGTGCAAACAAAAAAAATAATGCTTATTGCAGTTGGCCCATCAGTATTTATACATTAGTATGGCAGCTCAGACAGATAATATGGAGATTATGTAATAGATGGGGCTTTGTAAAAAATTTTTGATGGTGACAACAAAAAGATAACCAGGAAATTGAGTAAGAAGTTTACTTCAGTCAAATTGGATTTGTCATAGCTGCACTTGGAGCTGAATGTCAAGTTGCACACCTTTCACCTCAGAGATGACAAACAAAGGAGCTGCTTTCAGTGCTTAGCCCTTTATATACTTTATTTTCTCTGTGTTTTTCATTTAAAGTTTTCATCCAATTCTTTATCTTGTGTTGTCCTATCTGTAGCCATTCTTTTTTTCAGCAAGATGGGGAGGGTATGTTTGGCCAAGAAGCACATAAATGCTCTTGATTTTCTTTTCTCTATATCTGTATTTAAAAAGGATGAAATTGAATTCTGAAGCACTGATTTTTGGTCTTCATCTTGTTCCTTATGGTGCTGTGTGTGAAGATTTTCTTAGAATGCTAGTTACAATTAAAAATTAAAATGTGGAAGATCTAAGATGATTTGTGTAACATCCTAATAAAATTAAAATGGAATGTATTAAGACATTTAATGAGTGAATGCTGCCATATGGAGGCTGAGGCACATCTTTCATTATGCTCAAATCTTAATCAGATAACTGCCTGAGGTACAGGCTTCAGGCTTTAATTCTTGATGTTTTATTTTCACCTATAAAAGCCTGTAAAATTTACATAAAGGGACACAGCAATTAAAAGTAAATGCAGTCGTTGCTCTTTAGGTAAACAGATTTTTTCTAAGTTTACTTTAGCTTTTAAAATTAATAACTGTGAAACTACATTACATAAATCTCAGTGATTTCTTAAAGCATCTCAGTCAAAATCAGTCTAGTCCTTTGTTTCTCGGCTATGAGGTGTGAATCTTTGTTCCTTTTCAAAAAATCTTAAAATAATTGGATGTTACTGTATAAATGTAGAATTCTTTTGTGAATCCTGCAGAGTTGTTGGCTTTAATATATCACTCATTTCTGCATGTGATAATGTTTTAAAACTGTGCTTGAAAATAAAATTTTTAGGAGTGGTTTTGACTTGAATAATTTGTCAGTTCATTGATGTTGTTGTGATTTGGAAGATGAATAAAAGTGCCAGTCCTTATTTTTTCTTCTCTTTGACTGTTTAGTAAACCCTCTGCTGTGGCTAGACAGACATCTAGCTGAATCAAAGATAAAACTTTCTCCTTGAATTGCTTTATTTGTAGGAAAGAATAAAAATAAGGGAGAAAAAAAGGGAGAAACATGTTTCAGTGTAGCACTGGCTTACCCTTGCCCAAATAGTGGGTCATCTATAGGTGTACTGCTTAATTTGTGAGCATAAGCTTACAAAAAATAGTTAATTTTTCTTTTGGCATAATGGGCTTGGTAAACACATTGTTCTGGATGTTTAACCAAATCATGATTTTGTTGTACCAGCAACCTCTAAGGCCCAAGGAATCACTGAAACACAGGTTTCATGAAAAATGAAAGGCTCTGTCTACAGGCAATTTTAAGTTGTGTAAATTCTTGCCTTTTGTTCTGGATGGTTTTAGTGATATGAAATGGAAATTTAAACAATGAGGTAAAGTGCAAAAATGCGACCCATTTTCTGCTTGCAAAGGTAAAAACTTTGTGTTCATGGAACTAGAGTCAGAGTCCTGATGGAAGGTAGTGAGCTGCTGTCAAAGGCTGTTCTGATTATGTTGTATTATTTCAGTCAGGTCTGACTGGGGTTTGGATTTGCTGTTTGTCACATTGTTACCTTTTATTAGGAGTGATGTGGAAGCCTTGTCGTGTTAAAGAATACTAAAGGTACAATCTATAGCAAAATTGAAAAGACAAATTTGACAGTTATTTAAGCAGGGATAATATAAACCAAAAAATCTTACATTTGAGCAGCCCAGAAGAGATAACTTGCTTAGATTTTTTCACATATATTGGGGCAAAAATCACTTTGAAAAAAACAGTCAAGTATTTTTAATGTTTCTCATGGGCTAATCAAGCTGAGAACTGGGATTGCAGTAGGAAATGGTAATCTAAATCTGTGTTTTCAGATTGGTGCTAGGAGCTGTGCTTTTGTGATTGTTATGAGCTTCTTTACAATGGGAAATTGGTAGAAAAATCACTAATTTCATTTTAACAGTTTATATAGTTGTCTGTGATTTTAACTCTGAAACACTTGGTTCAGTAAAGAGTTTGCTCTAGAGTGAGGAGGAGCTTAGAATGAAAACTGAGCAGTGATCAAAAGCCAGTTTCCCTAGAAGAGAAAAATGTGTAATGCTTTAGACCTTTTTCTAAGCAGGTTTAGTTCATTAAGCATGAAACTGAAAAGAGATTAAGTTACTGTCTTTGCTCTCAAGACTTGATGGTTTGTGTTCTTAAATACTAAAGCCTTGAGTTTGAACAGGGTGCTGGAAAACAGTGTAGACAGAAACACTATGGTTCTGTTGAGTACAGCAGAATAGTAATTGTTTTACAGGGTGTGACCAAAACCACAAAACCTATTAAATGCAAAAGCATTAATCATGAAAAGAGAGGTACGTGGTTTATGTGCCGGCAGATAGAGAGAGATGTGTGTAATATCAGCTGTGAGAAGCACTCTACCTTCCTTACACAAATTCCTCCTTGTCATCCTGTTCCCATGGGTTCTGATCAGTGCTGTGTGCTTGACACTTCAGGATAAGGATCATGTCCTGCAAATGAATGGAGGCCCTGGTGCTTAGGTAGATAAATACCAGAAGTATTTCTTCAGCATTAAAATAGTAGGATGCTTGAAGAAAAATGTCTGTTTAGAAGGTCATGAATGCATCAGATGAAGTTACTTCTTCTGCACTGGATAAGTTTTAATTGAAAGCACTTGACAAATTGAAATACGTATGTGAACTACAGTCTTTTAGCCATTATTCTGTGTTAACCTCATTACCTTCTTCTCCAACCAGCTTCGTCCTCAGAGCATTGGGGAACCAAGGATAGAAAAGAAAATGTATCAAGTGGCAGTGTCTCTGATTCAGTCATTTGATGAGTTGGAAAAGAGGAGCAATAGGTAAGACAGAGTTCAAGATATGGAATCAGTGGCTCTTGGGGAAATGAGAAGCTAATTAAGCAACAACAGCAGTCCATGGTTATTAGTGGAAACTTTATTTTTACTTGCCTCTCTGCCTTAATTTTACATGTTTGTTGGATTTGTACCCAGTGTTCCTAAGGTGCACTTCATGCCCTGGAGCGTGACTGACTGTTCAAGGCAGCTGTGTCATATGGAAAATAATTCTTTGCTGTAGACTAGAGCTGAGGAGTATTTATATCAAGAATGAAAGCCCTATTTTATATTGTAATCTTAAACATATATTATTTCATGGAAAAAAAGGACAAGAACTAGGCATTAATTTCCATTGGCTGTTTAATGCCTTAGTGTCATGTGAATAAGTAAATATTGGATTTTGCTGCTCTGTGTTCTGTAAATTGATGTTTAGTATCTGAAAATGTAATAAAGTTATTTCTACAACTTTGTCTAACACTGAGTGTGTATTAACCAAATTCTGATTATTTTCATTGCAGAATGAGAATGTTTCTGTTTTGTCAAAGTTTTGAAGAAAAGAACTAAAGCTAATTCTCTGGTTTCAGTGTTCATATATTGTGTTTTTCAGAAAGTGTAGTTGTAAATAATGGTTGATATTTCATTTCTTTGGGAAATTTAAATAATGCATGTTACAAAAAGTTTGCGCTTCTGCTTGTTCTTCCAGAATAAAATAACTTGGGGTAATGAAGTAGACTAAGACTGTAAAACTAAGGAAACTGTGTTTTCTTGTTAGGGAGAAAAAGAACTTGAGTGGTACATTGGAACGTGGCAGTGTGCTTGTGTTTTTACCAGGTGAGTATATGTCTTAATAACTTTCTTTTTATTATTTGACATCTAATGAGCTTTCGTCTGGCACTTCTTCCAGGGATTTATTAAAGATATACTTAAATGAGGTTCATTGGTCTCTTTGGGCATTTTTTTCTTGGAAACTTGTTTAATTGTGGTAATAATTGGAAAGGCTGTGAGTCAAAAATTAAGATGTTATGTATTTTAAAAATAATAAAATTAATTCTGTACTTAATCTACAGAAATGCAGTTGCTCAATTTTTTAGTGCAATTAATTATTGTATGAAGCTCCTAGGATTCTTTTAGAGATGTTTCCTTATCTGCAAATGATGAGGTCTTCATTTAAATTGTTGTAAAAGGTCAAACTCACTTTTTTTTCCATGTTCATTGGTTGGTGTAGTTCGCATGCTCAGAAGCACAGATGATGACACAGTGATTATTGATCAGAAAACAGGCTATACATGTAGTCTTCTATAAAGAATAAAACCTAAGCTGTCTTGCACAGAAATTATTGTAGTTTTTTTTTTTGACTGTCATTCCTTAATTTAATTGTTAATTTAATAATCGTTAGCTGGATTTTAGAGCCAGTGTAACTAGCCTGCAGAGTAATTCTCCTGAACATCATAGTCTGTTACCTGGTGGTTTCAAGTATTCTTTTATTAAATGAGCTGAATATCTGTTAGTTGAAAACTTTAGAAAGATTTGGTTATTTTCAAGAGGAGAGTCATCTTGAAGTCCAGAGCAGCTGTTCCTTGGACACAGTGAAGTCAGTCCCTACCAGGGCTTCCTAACTCTGTAAAATGTTTATGAATGTCATCTCCCTGCTGTGTTGAGCTAAGGAAGAGACATGCCAGGGCTAGGGCTGGAAGCACAGCATACCAGCTCAAAGATACACTGCACTTGCAGAGCAGCTTTCCTTGGAGAGTGTTCCCCACTAGCTAAAAGGCATTAGAGCTGCTTTAGCTATAAAATTAGGAATTTTATTTATATTAGGAATATATTTATATTAGCAATTTTATTTATATTAGGAATTGCCTTTGCTATAAAATTAGTGGGTAGAAAGAATTACTTCATTGTGTTAATGTAAGGCCCATTCCAGTTTGTGAGTGATGAGGTTGGGAGACTGTATCTGTTGCCTCTGGCCTCTGATTCTGCTGTTTGGTGTGTTTTCAGACTAACTCAGCCCCTCTGAGGCTTCATTTCAGTCTGAAACTACTTCTTAGCACTTTCAAATCCTAAATATTTATCTTTCACCTTGATGTTTTTTGTTTTGTTTTGTTTTTTAACTGTGCTGCTATCCCTGATGACTTATAACTGCAAGTAGTATACTGATTTTTTTGTTTGTTTATTTGGTTTTTTAAATACATTTGGTAAATTTGTGGAAACCTGTGCAGTAATGCTTTCTAAATGAGCTGGTACACTCAAGTTTGTGTTTTATTTTTTCAGTGATTGACCTTGTCTGGTTTTAAACTGGATACTCAAGACTGATCCTGAACACCTGATTAGCAAACGCCCCTTGAAATTTTCCTCACAAATGTTTTTATACAGAACTGGAGAAAAGGGGAGGCGAGCCCTCAGTTTACAAGACTGCAGCTGAGACAGGGCTTTGGGTTATTTTTACCCATTTAACCGTCCACATTTAGGATGTTGATTTGAGATGCTTAGATATATTGAGTGCTAACGATTACATAGCATTTTGAACATCAAAAATAACACTCCCACTGACTTGTCAAGTTGATGTGCAGCAGCAGCATCCAGAAAGAGCAGTGTTGTAATGAGGATGTTTTTAAGTGATTTTTGCCCACTGTCTTTGTGAAACTCAGTGATGGGGCAGAATCTGTTTCCAAAAGGAGCTGCAGCTGTCTCAAGTAGGATGTCATGTTTTCCTTTGTAATTGTAATTACAGGATTTTTTTATTTGTAATCTCATTCACGAGATTACAAATTAATTTTTTGGTAATGCTACCAAGTCTGATTCTTTATAGATAAGTATTCTTCAGTTCAGCTCTCCTTTGGTTCCAGAACTTGTCTTTCTTGTAGGTAACAGGTGATACAAAGTGCCTTGTTAAACTGTAGAGTCATTTTCTTAACATACATGCATGAGTACCTTCTCAGTGATCTAATTGTATCTGTTACACTTGTGTTGATCTCATTTTTTGTCTGTTACATATTTTCTTTTGCACTTCCCTGTGCCCTGCTGTCTTTACTGTCCTTGTATGCTTGCCAAACAGGTTGTGTTACTAGTTCCCTTTTCATTCTGAGACCTTTGTCTCCTGGTGGGATCCTTATGTTCCATAGGTATCATGGTCAATCAACTTTTGTCATTTCTAAAACTGGTCAGCAGATACTGCCTGCTGTGTCTAGTCAGTAATTACTAGACTGATTAATAGTTACCATTAACAGTGATGATGCAGAGTCTGCTCTGCCAAACATGAATCAAACTTCTTTTAGTTGTTTCTGATAGTAAAAACAACTTCCAGGGAAGTCCAGTGTTGGACAGATTTTTGAAAATGGGGCTTTTGGAATTGAAGTCTCAATAAGAAGTAAACTAAGCTCCTCAGAAAGGTTTATGTCTGTGGAGATATTCGGGAAGATGATAAAAATCTCTTAGTCATAAGATTTCCCTTGGCAGATGTGAAATGCATGCCCCAGAAAATGGGCCCTGGAATAGCCAAAGGTGAGATGATTAAGACAGATGTTGCTGGATTTTTTTTCTCTTGGCCCTCCTCTTTGGAAGAACTTATTTTGGCTGAAATACCCAATTTTAGCCAAATTTAGCCAATTTAGTATGTGGTGAGCATTGTTAGTTGCACATAACTGAAACAAGGGTTATTAATGGGATGTTGTCAAATAGTCTTTATATCTTTATTAAGTGTAAAATTAATGCCAAATCGTTCTTCAAAAATCAACTCACTGGTTTTCAGAGACTACATTTGCTGTTTAATTCTTCTACCATTTTATTATATGGTGAAAAACAGGTAATAATGATAGGCAATTAATAATTGAAATAGATGTTTTTGAATTGTTCCTGATGACTAAAATGAAAAATAAACTCATGATTACTTTTTTCCTAGGTTTAGGTGAAATAAGATACATGCACTCATGCCTCTCAGATAAATATAAAAGGTAAGTTAGACCACATTTTTTTCAGTTCAGTCAAACCTGAGTATGATTCTTCCAGCTGTATGAGTTTTAGGTGCTTAATAGGGTTTAGCATAAAAGTGTAATCAGCTTTAATATTCTGCATCAGTAAATATTTCACTAATATATTTTGTTTAGGTGGCAAGTGTACCCACTTCATGCATGTGCAACATTGGAGGAACAAAGTAAAGTATTTTCGGCTACAGTTCCTGGCTACAGAAAAGTAAATATTTTTAAATCATTACTTTTTTAAAGAATGTGAAACCTTTTGGTAGAGTAGTAATAGCAAATTATAATGTATTTAACTAATACTAGCTGTTCTAATTCAAACCATTTTATGAGGAAAAAGCACTTTGGTTTGGCCTGTTGTTTTAAGTGGTGTTTAGACCTCAAGAGAAGTGCATTAAACATAAGGAAGTTACCCTTAAACTATTGTTGCTGCTATTTTTATCCTTCAGAATGGTTTGTGCATGTTGAGTCTTGCATCTGCACAAGGTGAGTGCTGCTGGTGGCACTGAACAGCAAAGTAGTCCCCCACTGTGGAAGACTCTGACCCACTTTGTCCCCCACATTTTCGCTGCTGTCTTGGTTTTCTTCATCTGCTATTGCTAAGAGAGTACTGCTGCTGATAGTGTGATGTTTCCTCATGGCAAAGGCACAAAGAAATCTTTTATTCTTCCCCTATACTGTCCTAATGCTATTCTACTTTAGTATGCTTTTTTGAGCTCAGAGCAAGAAAATACAAGGGGTTTTGTATTGTCCTTGTGTGGTATTGCTTTTTTTTATTATGCAGAGCAGAAATGTTGTGTTGCCATTGCATTTATATTTCTTCATAGCAAGTTGGATTTTTCATGTAGAAACATTAATGGGAGTAAATTTTTTTGTTGTTTATGTGTTCATTGCTCATTTTTTGCTTCAAAACTCAGGTTATTCTAGCTACCAACATAGCTGAGAGCTCTGTAACAGTTCCTGATGTTAAGTATGGTAAGTTGTCTAAATCTTGTAGTTCTTTATAGACTGTGTAATATTTTCCATACTTGTGCTAGGTTTGGTCTAAAGGATATGTCAGTGTTCAAAGCAATGCTGTTGGAGTGTTGAATTCTTTCTTTCAAACACAGAAATCTGAATATATGAACAAATAGAGCTACTGAGTGGGAGGTTGGTTTAAATCTTCAAAAAGGGTAATTTTAAATGCAGTAACAAGTAGAGTCCTCATGTCACAAGTTAAGATTTTTAATCATTCTGACTATGTTTTGAAATAATTGCATCAGTTTAAGCAAATTTTGACAGTTTCTAAATGCAGAAATTATTGCTCTTTTTAATGATTGTTATCTACAGTGATTTATTTTATTTATGGTAAAATCTGTTAGCAGTTTGATTAGTATTCAGAATATCCATGGGTCTGGTTGTTTGCAAATCTGATGTTCTTTTTATTGCTATTTAAGTTATTCAGACTTTACTTTTCTGATTATTGTGTATTTCTTTGCACTGCCATGAGGAATTTCTTTTTTTCTTGCAGTGATAGATTTCTGCTTAACTAAAATTTTGTTTTACGATAAGGAAACTAATTACCAAAGTTTGAGGCTTTGCTGGGCATCTAAGACAAACTGTAATCAAAGAAGAGGTAAGATGACAATAGGTAATGCAAAGGAATTTTAGAAGCTGACCTTCATGAACAATTTTTTGTTTCTTTTTCTTGTATTAAGAGTAAAAAGAACAGGCTATTTTGGCCATTAATACTTGATAAGTCTTTACCATGTTACGGTATAAAAATGGGATTTAACAACTATGCATGAATGTGTTTTTTTTTTCTCTCAGGTATAGTTGCAGAGGAGTGTTTTATGTCCTAGTGAAAAGTATTAAAACTCATGCACCATGGATTCTTTGTTATTTAGTAGCAATTTTTTTGTCAAGGGCCATTTTTAAAAAGGGGAGATAGGTAGTGCTAGGTATTTATTAGCTGCTTGTGAGTTTCAGCAGTAAAAGAAACTTTCATGTGTATATATCAACTATTAACAAGTTGAAATGTCCACAGCAGTGTTTCTAGTTTACACCAATGTTCATAGCACAAGGATAAATGAGTTGCCCTATTGGCTCTTCTAGTAAGACAGTCCTCTTAAATACCAAAATCTTTTTAGTTTCAGTCAAAAAGAATACTAAATAAATCAATAGCAGTGATACCTTCAGATCTAAAAATAATGCAATTTTTAAGTACTATGAGGTCTTTACAATTACAGCTGGGTGCAAGGTGCCCACCAAAGCTGCTCTGTCACTCCCCTCTCCTCAACTGGATGGGAAGAAAAACGGTGACAGAAGGATCAGGGTTTGAGATGAAGACAGGGAGATCACTTAGCAATTACCATCACAGGCAAAACAGACTCACCTTGGTGAAATTAGTTTCATTTTATTACCAAACAAATCAGTCCCAGGTAATGAGAAATTAAGCCAAATCTTAAATAGCTTCCCCCTACTCATTCCCAGGCTTGGACTCGCTCCCAATTTCTCTACCTTCTCTTCCCTAGTGGTATGTGGAGATGGAATATACAGATTAATTTCCATTTGGTTCAGGGTCAGTGTAGGTCACAACAACTAGCCAATGTACAGTAGAAGTAGCACTTTGAGTAGAAGACTTGGGCTTGTGCATGTGACTTAAAAATGTGACCTGATTCTCTAGGGGAGTCTCCCACAGAGAGGAATACCCTATAGCTGGTTGTGAATGGTGTTTGGATTTGTGAAGATAGACTTCTGAATCATTGCGTTTTCTGTAAATAGCAGATCACAAAGATGTTCTGCTGTTTATCATTGTATCTTAAAAGTTGTTTATATTGAAGGTTATGTTCTAGCTATAGAGTCAAATAGGAAATGCCTGTTCAACTGAGAAAAATGGCTGTTGATTTGAGGGCAGTTATGCGAGAAAGGTATTTGAGTGAAATACTTACGCAATTCTTTTGTTAGTTTCTGCTCCTATGAAAGCAAAATTTTTTTGTCCTACCCTTATGTGTCCGCTGGGCCTGTCTGCTGCAAGAGAGCAGAACGCTGCTCAGCCTGCAGCATCAGCTGTCAAGTACTGCTCAGCTGCCCAGAGGGTTTGTAGATGGATGGATTTGGAAGAAACTTGCGCGCTTTACAAATTGGTGATCTGTTCTTTTATGTGAAGGTCGTGCTGGACGTGTTTCCAAAGGCTTTTGTTACAGGCTCATACGCAGGGACTTCTGGGCAGACTGTATTCCAGAGAAGTCAGAACCTGAGATGCTGGTAAGGTTTTTGGGTTTAGGATCAGGTTTCCTTTACTGCAGAGTCATATCAGAGAAGCTGTGCTTTACTTTCTCTGAAGGTGATTGGAATAGTTACTATTAACTAATATCAATGACTAGAATTCAACTTGATAACTCATTGGCAAAGATCATTCCACATAGTTTACTTATAGAAGGAGATACATTATAGCCATACAATTGATGTGGATTAGAAATAAGCAATCTACACAAAAGAAAAAAAACCCGAGTTGTATGCAATTGATTTCAGATTTTGTGAAATTGTAAACTGACTTTTTCATATGAAACACTTTGTCACACTTCCCATGAGGGAAGAGTAACAATAATCTTGTCTTCCCTTCAGCATTGTTCATTGGGAGCTACAGTATTAAAATTAAAGAAGCTTGGTATAGGGGAACCAAAAGCCTTGCTGGCAACAGCTCTTTCTCCACCCAGTGTAGGTGACATTGAACGTACAATAGTTCAGCTAAAAGAGGTAGGCTTCCTTTTAATATTGTTAAAATCAAGGTAATAGGAATGTACTGCAGAAGTGATTTTCTTTGTATTTAATGCAGTAGTAGTCTTAGTTGGAACTTCAGGTAGGAACTGTGTCTAGAGAGCCTTTCACAGCTTGGTCTGTTCTTGTGTTACCATCCTTTTGTGCAGAATTTCTGTAGTTACATCTTTAAAACAAGATTGTAATTTCATCAGGGAGTAATGATACTCTTTGAGGACTAACATCTATGGTGAGAAAGAACAGAGAAATAGGCAAAAAAATAACTTAAACTCTGGAAGCGATGTTGTTTAAGTAATAAATCACACTCTTACACTGTATGATTTATAGAGGTCAGCCTAAAGATACCTTTTTCATCTGTACAAGGAGGATGGTGATTTTGATTTTCAATTATAAAGTTGATATAAGGGAGAATCTTCATTGCATTAAACTTTTTTCTTTTCCAAAGTGCATAAGAAATAATATTTATATCATTTGTAGCTTGCGTTAACTTCCAGTATATGTAGTAGCTTTGATTTCAAAAGTAGCAGGCTTTAGAAGTTGTCTTAGGTTTAGTTAGCTTTTACAAGTGAATACATTTTAATTTCTCTAGCTTGGAGCACTTACAACTTGCACGCAAACCAAAGAAAATCTGCATGATGGTGAGCTGACTTTCTTAGGAATGGTACTGACACAGTTGCCAGTGGAGCTGCATCTTGGAAAATTGATAGTCCTTGGGCATGTCTTCGGTTGCTTAGAGGAATGCCTTATTATAGGTAACTGAAAGCAGAACATGCGAGAACATTTTTCTAAAACCGAATGATTTGCAGATTTTCATTTTGATTTGTTTTTGTTGTAGCTGCAGCATTGTCTTCACGGAATTTTTTTGCAGTACCTTTCAAAAAGCATGTTGATGCATACAGGTAGTACCCCAGATTTTTTATAACTTGCTAACTACATTTGAGGGCAGAGGGCAGAGTTGATCACTCAGAATAATTTTCCATGTCATGAGTCTGATTTTTTGTTAAAATGCCAAGCAGTGCAAAAAGAAGCTTTTCCAGGTAGCTGATACTGGAATCTGTTTATTTGGGATCATAAATCACAGAGCTAACTCACCGTTTCCTGAGCACAAGGCCTGATTCTTCAGCTTTGCCTTCCTCATGTGGCAGCATCTATTAAAATGGTTCTTTAAATAGCAAGGACAGTTAGTTACTATTGTCCTGCTCATGCAGTGCATCTCCTTCAGTGAGGAGATGTGAATAAGAACAGGTAATTACAATATTTCTCATGTTTATTAAAGATGTGGAGGGTGTTACTGAGCTGCATAATACATGCAGTGTTTGATAAAAAATACTGTTGCTAATAGTTTTTGCTCATATTGACAGGAAAAAATTGTTTTTTGCTGGGAATAGTAGGAGTGACTGTATTGCAATTCTGAATGCATTTAGGGTAAGTCTTCTGTTACAGCTTAAATTACAGTGAACTCTGATAGGCCAGGATGGAGATTCTCACCTTTGTAGGATCAGTGCAGCATTTGTGCTTTGCAGTTGTTAAAAACTTCACATTATTGATAGCTACACGTTGATCTTTTTTGCAGTCTGTGTCCAACTGTGTAAAGTTCCAATTATCTCTACTCTAATAGCCAAAAAAAAAAATGCCAGACATATGATGTTTGTAGATCATTTTTAAGCAAGGACAGTTTGCACTGGTAAATTCTAGTAAAGAATGAGTGTGATGACCTTTCTGCAGCTTTGGAGAATAGTCAGCTATTTAGCTGACTAATTAGTGGCTTTGTGATGTTTTTGAGCAAATGCTATTTTTTGGTACTCTTGTCTGTTCATTGGCTCAGTACCATGGACAGGGGTCAGTTCCTCCAGGTAGAAGCAGAGCTGGTACAACACAGCAAAGGTTTCTGCTAGAGGAACTTGCTGCTCAGATTCCAGCATTTTATATTATGCATGCTCTGGTGTGTTTTGTAATCTTCTGGAGAGTCCAAAATCTTCAGCTGCTGATTTAATTTATTCATTTTTTTAATGAATGTTGCCCTTCAGTCAAAACTGACTTGTTTTTTTTTTTTCTACTCTGCTTTTGTGAAGCGCACATGGACATGTATGGCATGTGTATCCACTAATCCTGAGGCTCAAAAATAATGTTTTATGAATTCCTCTTATCCTGTTATTTATTTCCCTCGTGTCACTTGGTTATTATCACCTGTTCATCTGAAGATGCTGTTTCTATAAACCAGTATGTTGTCCTGGAGAATAAGCATGAGCATTCAGACAGAGCTTCCAGAGGAGTATCTCTGTGTGTGAATGGTGTGAAAGCTTTGTTTTGAATGGCTGAATATCAGAAAAAAACAAGTAAGTTCAGGAAAGTTTGTTTCCAAACTCCTTGTTTCAGGTTAGATTCCCTATTTCTTGTCAAGGTAGGGAAATGCAGACTGGCTGTTCAAACTTGCTTGTAGTCACTGTCCCCAGTAAACTGGAATATTGTATTGTGAGATGACTTGCTGTGAAACTATGAATGGATTCTCAAGGCATCTATCATAAGCTCTCTAATAATGAAGTTATTTTCATTAATATGCTGGGTATTTTAATTTCTCTTCCAGCCCTGTTTTCTGGGAGGCATTTGCATCAGAATTTACCTGAATCAGTCAGTTCACTTCCTTTTGTCCCAGAGCAAGGAGGGAAAAAAAAAAAAAGTTTTTAAAAGTAATCTGCTTTATTACAGCATCAAATTAAAGCATCCAAATTGTTCTGATAGTTTATGGATGTTTGTATGTGCTTTAATACTCCATTTCCTCTTAAAAAGCCAGGTGAACAGCCTGTTGTTAAAAAATTACCTTCAGTGTTGATACCAAACAAAAAGTTCATAGTTTTAAATGACACATTAATATTTGTAATAATTACTACTAAAGCCCTACATTTTGTGTCTGAATACTACACCATTTTCTTCTTAGGCATGGCAGGCCTGCAAAGAAAAAGGGAAGCTGAGAAATCCCATGGTTAGTTAAAATTTTCTTCTTCTGTATTCAGGGTTGGTGACTTTAGTGCTGGAGTATTTTATTTTCATAGTAAATGAAAAGTAAGAAGTTTTTGCTAGCAGTGTTTATTTTCGTGCATAAATAGGCTAGGTTTTGAGAGAAAATGAGCATTTGAATCCAGCACAGTTATTTGAAGACAATCCCTTACATTAGTCCCTTTCACTGATGACTCAACAGTGGCCAGAGGGTTTGAAATCCAACCTAAAAAGGGAAATTGAGCTGTAGTTGAAAGAAATACTTCTGTTGCACATAAGTATCTGTATTTTTTTTAAACACAGATTCCTATCCCCTCAGAAAACCCTGAAAGATGGAAGATGTTAAGATGCATCAATCACAAAAACCAGTAGCGTGCCCCCAGTAACTGCCTCCAGTCCTTCTTTGTGTGTACAAGATAAAACCTTTTTTTATTTCCCCTGTTCTTTCAGAGTGTATCATCTTTTATGATCACCAGTGCAAACCATACACTGAGTTACAAGTAGCCAGGATGGCCAGAATCTGTCTGATAAAGATGTGCATTCAGAGAAAGAAGTTCTGAATTTTTTCTGTGTTCCCAGATTGCCACGAAGTCCACTGGCATCCTGGCTTGTATCAGCAGTAGTGTGGCCAGCAGGACCATTAACCAGGGCAGTTAATTTTTTTCCCCCTGTACTTGGCACTAGTGAGGCCACACCTCGAGTCCTGTGTAGAAGACATTGAGGTGCTGGAGCATGTCCAGAGAAGGGCAGTAGAGCTGGTGAAGGGTCTGGAGCACAAGCCTCCAGGGTGAGGAGCAGTTGAGGGAACTGGGAGCTTTTAGTCAGGAGGAAAGGGGGCTCAGGGGAGACCTTATTGCTCTGCAGCTGCCTGAAAAGAGGTTGAGTTGGCCCGTTCTCCCAAGCAATAGAAGCAGGGAAAATGGCCTCAAGTTGCACCAGGAGAGGTTTAAATTGAAATTAGGAAAAAATTCTTCACTGGAAACATCACTTTTCAAAGAACTTCAAGATCCTCAAGTCCAGCTATTAACCTAGGACTATGTCCAGGACTAAACCACATCCCCAAGTGCCACACCCACTCAACTTTGGCACAGATCCACCGGTGGTGACTCCACCACTTCTCTGGGCAGTTGGTTGCAGTGTTTTCAGTGAAGAAAGTTTTCCTTAAGTTTGGTAGCAGTAGAAGAAAAAAAAAATTCTGACTTTCTTTTTCAGGAAGAGCTTGAGTGGGGTCGTTCTAATTGTGTTCATATAAACAAGATCAAAGAGGTAAGATTAAATAGGTAGTAGTTTTTATAAGCAAAAGGAGTTAACTTTCCTCATTTTCTGTAAATGTTAAGATCTTGGGTAAACCTAGTGTGTTACATATCTATCAATGCATATAGATGTATATTTTCTTCAAATGAAGTATGGATTTAGATGAGAGGAGTTTTCCTTTTGTTAGGCTAAACAAAGTGGTTAAATTATTAACCTATGTTCTATGTATTTTTAATATTTTTAAGAAACCTGCAGTATAATTTCCTAATTTTGTAGGTTTCTCAGGTCACTGGTTGTGGTGTGACTGCTGTCTGTTGTTAACTTCTAAGCAAATACAGTTACATAGTGAGGCCTGGACTTGAGAATTTTTGGGGCTTTGTTGCTAGCATCAGTGCAGCAATTAATGAAAGCTTAGCATCACAATGGACTTCAAGATTAATTTGATATATTGAGGGGAAAATAAGTAAAATTCCTGAGTAATTGAATAGCAGAATGGCCTTGGCCGTTATCTCACCGGTTCATACCTTTGGCTTGAGCAAAACAGGGCCTATGTTCAAAAAGTACAGGAAATAAAAATTGAATTTGATAGTGAGCAACCATCTGAATAAGAAAGGACAATAGTTTGATGACTTTGGATATATAATGGCAACAAAAAAAAAAGAAAAAGAAATTTTATAAAACTGGACAGTGGAATGATCAGTCTGACATGGCAGCCTCTCTTGGCTCAGTTTCAGATAATGCTGGAAGAGGTTGTGCATGACATTAAATACATTAAGGAGTTCAGAATGATCACCTTCACTTAACACTTAGTAATATTTAGGGGCTTTTATTTACTGCACCTAAAGATCCTAATTTCATAATCTCTTGTGTGGAAGTGAGTTTGCCCAACTGAGTCAGTCACAGGGGTTTCTTTCTGGTGCTGGTTGTTGTCTGGTAGTGTGCTAAAACTGCCAGCAGCAGAAAGGAAAGGGAAATGTGGCTACAAAAATGTTGTGTGGACAGTGCTTTGTACATTTGCTCCAGAATCGTTTGTGAGAGTGAAGGCATTCACTGTGTGGTTGGAGGATCAGTGGTTGCTTGTAGGAGCTTCTTGGAAATGCTGAAGATGGAAAGCTTAATATGTTCTGCTGGAGGGCATAAGTTGGATCTCTCTCACAGTAATCACAGTTGTCTGCTAAACTGAGGGTTCAGCACGGCCACTGCTGCACTTGGGTGCACAATTCCAGGCTGTTAGTAGTATTTTTACCTCCTAAATCACCAACCTAAAATGATTTAAATAGAGAATATAATCTTGTAAAAGGTTGTTACAGTTCTTTTCCTAATTTTGTTTTGTATCATATATGCATGATACATTTTGTGACTACAGAGTTGTTCTTTATAAGAGCATTTTGGGAAAACTAAAACAAAACAGTCAAGTGAAACGGGAAGGGAGTTCACCCAATTATTTCAGACTTTAACTGGCAGATTTTATTTCAGTTTGCAGCTGTGTTTGATCCATTTTATATGTAACTTAGAGATCACATTTTAGGTGGCAGAGTTATTTCACAACTTGAAAAAGAGAGTCAGTGCCTTTAACATGCATGTTAAAGCCCAACCATGTGCTGTGGACCAGGAATATTTGTGCAAACAACGCTTCATCTTGCAGGTAATGCTTTAGTATCATAAAGAGATGCTATTTACAAAAATTGCAGCTGATTTCTCATAAATTTTCCTAATTTTCAATTTGTATGAACTACTATAACAATTTTCCAAAATTATGTGTGAGTGTTGATATTTTGGATAGGAAAAAAAGCTATTTTTTTGGCAGTGTATTGGTAATGTAAAAGGATGGCTAATGTAAGTTAATTGAAAATTATATTTTCCTTTTTTTGAGATTTTTCATTTGAATACTGGCTTGGTTAGTTAGTGGGGACAAGGTGCAAGGAATTTTACAACTTTCAGCTATTTTAACTTTGTCTCATTTCCAGTTTGATTACTTGTCTTATTTGGACTGATTAGCAGTGATTTTATTTTCACAGAACTGTTTATTATTTCAGTGGCAATTGGTTTAACTCTGTAAGCAGTGAGAATCTTGGAGTTGAATTGTTGAACATTTTAAGACTGAAAACTGAATAATTTACCTGTAGCTATTCTGTGTGAATTTGTTTAAATTCAGGCTCTTGGAATCAGAACTAGCAATTACAGTTTTCAATCAATAGAACAGAGCAAGTCTGCATACAAAAGTATTAAAATGTTGTTGAATTGTTCCAGAAATTGAACTCTTTTCACAAAAACACATTGTTAAGAATTTGTGTAAATTTGTGTTTAGTCTCCAGTTCTGGTAATTCCTGAACAGAGACAGGAAAAAATATTCATATGAAGATCTGTTGGTGTCTCTATATGTTGCCAGTGTATCTCATTTAAAGAAACTGAATATAATGTGCTGTGTTTCACAAAATACTTTCTTGATTTCAGGTGGTAATAGCTGGTGCTTTCTATCCAAACTACTGTACTTTTGGAAAATGTCATGAAGAAATTGCCATGAAGGACCTTGCTGGCAAGGATCCAAAAACCACTGTAATGGTATGTTAGGAAGGTGAATGACTTAATTAAGAATCAAGCAACAGAAATGTGAAGTCTTTGGGGTGGTATTTTCAAGTTCTGTTCTGATTTGGGCAAGGACAAAAGTAATTTCCTACTCTGATCCTCGCTTTGGTGAAGTCTGTCCCACCTTCCTTCCTTTCAATACAGTAAATATCGTGTAGGTGGGCAGTTTTGGAAGAATTCCTTGGAACTGCCTCTATGCATTTGATTGCTAGTCTTGCACAGGCAAACAGCTTTCATCAAACTAAAAATACCTGAAAAATAGAACAGGACTATCAAGGGTACTTTTTACTGAGTAGTTCAGTTAATGTAGTGTTGCAACTTCAGTGTTACTTTTGTAATCTTCTGACTGTTAGTGCATGGCAGACGTGCTTGTTGCTTTAAGGTTACTCAGGTGTTGCACTGGGGTTTTTACCTTCTAAAATTGCTTTTCAGCTGATTGCATATGTACAAGTTTAAAATGTCCTTGTTGATTTTGCAATATAGTGCACTCTAAACTAAGAAAACACTTGGTGTATCTGAATTAGATATAACACTGTAAAACAGCCATGACCTGTTCTTAAAGAAACCAAATCTACCTGGTTTGAGGTAACTCATTGGTACCTTGTTTTGAAACAAGCCTCAAAGAATAGACTTTACTGTCACAAGAGAAAATAGATAAAAAAGGAAGGAGTGTCAGAAAATCTTGTTGCAAGGGATTTTTTTTTGTGCTCCATACTATTTAAGGATACTGAAGCAAAGGATCACACTAGACTCAGTCTTGTGGAATAAAAATTAGTCTTGCCACAGCAGCATTGACTAATACTAAATTGGTAGAATTAAAAAGCTACTTATTTTAATGTATTTAACTCTTGATCTGCTCATACATCAACTACTTGTTACTTTGGTGGAAGTAGCTGCTGTGTCTTCATCAGTGTCAACGATCATCTTGGGCACAAATGCTGCAAGTGCCTCACACTCACTTGGAGAGATTCTTACAGCCATGTGCTGCTCCTAATGAAGTGCTGAAGATAGGAAAGACAATTAAACCTCCCACTGTCTGGTCTTTCTAAGTTATCTTCCCTTGAGGCAGTTTCTGCAGTCTAACCTAGACCATGGTTTTGACCAGCAGCTGATCTTAGTGCTGATCTTCAGGTCATAGGAACAATGTGAAAAAATTGTTTTCTCCTGTTTAAAGTTGTAGGAGCCAAAGAAAAGAACAGACAGTTGCATAGGCTCTGAAGAATAGTTGAAAGTCTCAAAGTTTGAACTTGCTAATTTGGAGGTCATGATTCTGTATTAATTCAAGATCTCCTATGAGATATTCTTAAAAAAGAGAGCAAAATGGATGTGTGACTAGAGTTGCATGTTAATAGTAGTGAAAGCTTACACTGGAGCTACTCCTCTACACAAGGAAGACGGGGAAATTTCTCTTTGGCATCCCTAAGAGGTGTTGTATCCACGTGAGAGAGCTTTCTAGTTGTGCAAGCTGTCCCACCATAGCTCAGTAATTCAATATGTGATAGTTCAGCCAGGTTATGCAGGAGCTGTAGGTCCTTCAGTTTTCCAGGCTGTGCCTGTAGAGGATTGTTGCCAGTTGTGGAAAAAGAATCACGGCATTCCAGTGTTTTTCTGTTACAAGCAAAATCAAGAGACGCTACGCTAGACAGCTTTTTGGAAAAAATACCTGATTAATATGTATAATTACAAATCAGTTTGCTTCATTTAAGGTTTATCTTCTGGTTTGAAGCAGTAGGGCATTATTAACAGTAAAATGGTGTTTTTTATTGTCTTTTGAGATTCTTGTAGTATCTAGCACTTTAGAAATTTGTTGGAGTTCAGATTGTACATAATTTTTGCTGCTCAAGTGACAGGGAAAGCTAACTATTTAGGTGAACTTGAAAATGCATTAAAGCAATTGAATGTTTCCAAATTTAATGTCTTTTTCTTAACAGCTGAAGAACATTCCTCCCTTTGGATATATATACCATAAACAGTTGCAGTCACTGCTTAGACAGTGTGGGCAGGTAAAATCTATTTCCTACAATGGATCAAGGTGAGTGTAAAATAAAGTATCCTGCCTTATGTTCTCAGCTACAAAAGCAGTAATCAGTTTTTTTTTTCAGTGATGTACTGACAGATTTAGTTCATTTCTTCTCTCTTTGGAATCAGTAACTTGGTTTTAATGTACTGGTTAGAGTTACAGAGGTGGATTTGAAGTCTGATGTACATTGGTTGGAATAACATTGGATAAGCTAGCTGAGGTAGAGCCTTCTGGTTTGTCTCTTCTGGTCTTTAACTGTGGGGCTTAATTGCAGCTCATTTGTCTGTATTTATTTCTGTCTGTTAGACTGAATTTAGCTCATTTGTACAGTCTGATGGCTTTTTTGTGCTGATAATCTAATTTCAGCCTATGGCTGCCCAAAGTTGAATTCATGCAACTCTTCTTATTCCTTTTCCAACCTTTAATGAATTCCTTATTCACATATATTTTCACATCCTATTTGTATTAAATTTGGCATGTGCTAGTGATGATGTTAGGAAATTTTCATATCACGTTCATGATAATTAAAGTTTTAAGGTACATAAAAGTAGTAGGCAGAGCCTGTGAGGAACCTACCATTTACTGTTTGTTGGCCTGCTAAGATAAACACAGGGAGGAAAAAAATGATTTTTTTTTTTTTGTAAACAGGGCTTTTGTGGAGTTCTCCCGTAATCCAAAGGAGGTGTTTAAGGTGCTTCCTGAAGTGTACCTGGCAGTCAAGATGTCGCAGCTGAAGATTCCTTTTGAGCTGTGTGTTCACTATCCAGAGGATATCACAAGACAAGTGCAAGGTGCAGCAGCTGCAGGCTTGGAATTTGTAAGGTAATTCTATTCCATATATAAAATGTGTTTCTTTGCAGCAAAATGGGGTTTGCTGGATTCGGTGGGAATTTCTTTGAAAGAGTCACCAAGGAAAAAACGTTAGGTTCAAAAAACAAACTTAAACTTTGTCTAAATGGAATGTTTTTGCAGGGCTAGAAAGAATGTGGTTGTTTTAAAGATTTCTTTATAGTTAAAGAAAGTTATAGTATTTTGCTGTTCAAGAGAATTCCAAGTATACAGTCATCTTCCCCCCAAGGTTCTATTCCATTTTCCTTTGGCGCATGAAAGTATGGATGTACACAGTTATTTCTGTTCATGACAGAGACAATATGGGGATTGTGATAACCAAAATAAATAAGGAGTAGCATTTGGGGACAAAAAAGAAAGGGAGAGAGACAGAACTTAACAAAAGTAGCTGTGAGGAAACATAAGGACATGAGATGTAACGACATAATAGGAAATAATGCTGAGAAATTTTGTGTTGAGTCTCTCTGGTCTGCTTTGGCTTGGAAGGTCTGGCATGTTTATCTCAGTGTTATGCTGTGATTCTGAGCTTCAGGTCATACAAGTAACCTGATAAAATGGCATTTTGCCTAGCTCCTGATTAGTCTGCACCCGGTCCAGTATTTTAAAATAAGAAATCTAGAATAGGAGGGCAGAAATGAACTGAGAAGGTTAAAGTATAGGTGAGTATTTTACTTCTAGTTGATTGTACTTAGCTTTTAATAAAATATTTTAGCACCTTCACTCTGCCCAAAACAGCACTTAAAATGTTTGTAAAAATTGATTCTTGAGGAACTCAAGTCTCCTAGGCTTGAAAGACTTAATTTCAAAGTTCTTACATTTTTTTAAATAAGAGGAATCTATCTATTTATTTATTTACATTAAAATTTCTCCATTAAAATTTGCTGAATTTATGTTTGTATTTTTGTATACTCTGTTTTCTAAAAAATAAGCTTAGAAGAAAATGCCACAACTAAAGGCCTCACTATTTGACCTTAATTTCTTCAATTTTTTATAAAGTGATGACCGAGTTGTGTCCTGGTCTGTATCTTTCTGTGTTTGGTTATATTGCAGTTGAAATAGTTACTCTGTAGTAATTTGGTTCTCTATGGTCATTTTCCATTCTAATCAAATTAATGTATTTCTAAATAGAAGTAGTTAAGTACATAAATGTGCCCTAGGGATACCTTGGGAAGCAGATGAAAGTGAAAATTCATCCTTTTGGGTTTTCCCTGGTGAGTGAATTATTTAGCATCTTCATTCCATTTCAGAGTAAATGTGGACTGTCAGAAGCAGACAGTGGAGCCTGTGGAAATCTCATTTGGTGGTTTACAAATGTCAAAGATGATCCCAGGTCGTTACCTGTCCATCAGGGTAACAGAGGTAGGAATGTTCTATATCTGAACTAGGTCATATCTAATAATTAGTACCTAGATAGCTTAGCAGAGATTAGTATCTGACAAGCTTATGTTAAACAATTGGGTATTGATAATGTTTTTAGTGCAGAGGTGTTTGGAAGAAGCGTGGGGAATATTCTTGGTCTTATTTTTAGTAGTTCTTTGTTAAACAGCACTCATGTGTTTTCACTTGACAAAATTTGTGAGATTTGCTGGCAGTAAATATTAGCTGGAAGGAGTCATAAATGTAAAGAGGATTTAATGGAAGAGGTAAAATACTTGTGTAAACTATAAAAATGATAATCAGGAGGCATTTGGACCATTTACCTGGTTATTAACTGCCAGTTTTCTTCAGAAAATGTACATACGAGATGAATTAATGGTAGTCTGTGCTCATTCAGAAAAATATTTCATGCATAGACATGTATTAGGGGAAAATTCTATGTATATACAAATATTTCTGAAATCTGAAGCTGAGATTTTTAAATCCTGTGTTAGATATCATCCTCATTAGTTGAGTAATCGCAATATATATGCTGCTGAAATAGAGATAATAAAAACATTCAAACCACTCAGCTAGGGGAAATGATAAGATAAAGTAGTAAAACAGCTCTTGTTAGTAGTGGAATGTTTTACAAGTGGAGAAAATATTTTCCTCCTTTTAGTCAGCTAAATTTCTTGGATGAAAAATGTTAATGAGTTTGATCAGACCCATTGCAATCACTTGGCTTTCTATGCTACTTCTGTTTTAATATAAGAGCTTTAATGACTGTAAATATTGTTTTTTATCACAAGCACTCAATAGAAAGTCTGAAATGGTTGTGTGAGTTTAGACATTTGAGAAGATGACTTACTTTATTTAAATGGCTTTAAATAGTTGTATGTTCTCACCAGTTTCATAAAGTATGGCTTATCATAGCAGTGACAATGCTGATGACTGGTATTCTGTCACTAGTAAAAAAGATGCACCAAATCTGTGTACCTGTCAACTGTCTACCTTGTATTTTCTGTATGTTATCTTGGTTTAGGTAAATGGAAGCAGTCTTTTCCTAATTTCCTGTATTCTAGTAATGCTTATATTAGAATCTGGTTAAATGAAAAGTGTGTTGCAGTCACAAATAAACATTTTCAAAAAATACTGAATTATGAGACAGAAATGCTTCACTGCATTGTTGCAGTATGTGTGAACTGTTGTGTCAGGAGTAAGAAATGTTTTCATATATTTTGCTCAGATGTGGTTTATATTTGATGTAGAAGAATAATGCAAAGTCTGTTACTGTCTAATTTTTATACTCTCAGATAGTAGAAGTTGGACACTTCTGGGGTTACAGGACAGATGAAAAAAATACAGCTGTACTCCAGGCTCTAAGTGCTGAAATTGACTATCAGAACCTGATGGATTTAGCAGTGCCTCCACGTGTAGATGTGCTTTGTCTGGCACCATTCACTTATCTGGGAAAGAGAGGATACTACAGAGCTCACGTTCTGTATATTCATGGGGATCTTGCTGAGGTAATGTGCTGTGTCATATTGAGTTGGTAGCATGTAATTGGGTTAACAATCTTGGAGATTTGCTGCCTGTTTTTTTTATTTATTTTTTTCTACGAATCACTTTGGCCAGAATAGATTGTTTCTTTTCCAGAACACAGGAATTTTTAGTATTAAATTGAGAAGCTCTTGCAGAATGAAGTAAAATAAAGACTTAAAACCTCCAGTGAATCTGAAAAAGTGGCTTGTTTTTGGAACAGTGTTTATGCTGCTGAGTTCTATATCATCAACAAATTCATCTGAATATTTTGGCTCCTTGTGCTGAGATGGGTAATGGAAATCAGTGCCACAGTTCAAGATTGGTATTGATTTCTCAGGCCAATACTTTTCAGCAGTTTAAGGGCAGATTTTTAAAATTTTTTTAAGGCTGGCCTTTGAATTTCATTTATTTCTTAACCTGTCTGGGTGTCACTCCTATAGAGTTAATACTGAATATTGTCATGGTTTAAAGTCATGAAGAACAAGTGAATAGTAATGCTAATCTCACCACTTTCTTATTTGAATTTATAAACAGGCACTGAATACAGGTTCACGTTTGCTTAGCTGAAAGCAGTTGTTGGTAGTACTGCTCACTGAAGATGTAAGGTTACACAGATCTGAGCGTGGGGAGGGAATTTAGAGTCTTTCAGAGAAACTTGCCTTTTCTAGATTTAGCGGATTATTTGCATTACAAGCGGATATTTAGGCCAAGGAATCAAATAATAGATGTGATACAATTTGACATATTCTTTTTGACATGACTTCATTTGCATGCTTTCTAGACCTTGAATTTGCTTCCTTGTAACTTGATAAGGTTTTTGTTGTACTGTAATTTTTAAACTCAAATTGTGACTTCTCTTGCCACTAAAAGTAACACCTTTAGTGTTGTGGAATCTTTGCAAATACTCTTGATTATTTTTCCAGGTTTTTTTTGTGGATTATGGCAATAGATCAGAAGTGCCTTTAAATAAATTAAAAGAGATTCCAAGCTGTCTTCAGGGGCTTCCTTTCCAGGTAGGGATGATGCTGTTGGCTGCAGCTTACTAGATATTTTTGTGTCTGGCCTGGCAAACAGGAATGAACTTCAAGTCAGGATGCTTTTCAGAATAACACTTACATAATATGTATTTTGCTGGTGGAGGTATCTTCAAATCACCTTCTCTAATAGGCAAATGTTTTCCAGAGGTGTGTGTATTCACAGAGCAGAAATTCATGTGTCTAATTGAACTACATTGTATTTAATTGTAGAGAAACTGAATTTTGTAAAGCTATGATTTTTATTCATGCTGCTTTGCTGTTCTCTGAACTACTGGCTTTCCTGGGATCTTTTCAGACAGAATTCTCTTCATGATTAAAGATGAGTATTATAGATCTAGTGAGCTTTTAACACAAATTAGAGGGATTTTATGGCTAGTTTTTCAGAAGAATAGTTCTCTTGACCTATATTTACAAATAAAGTAACTATACTTTAATTGTAATTCAGTTTCTCACATATTTTTAAGCTAATAGAAAGAGCTGTATCATATTAATTGTATTCTCTGAAGCATTTGATGATGAAAATGAGAAATGGACCAGCAGAAATAAGATTAGATCTTGACAGGGCTAATTTTGTTTTGTTTTCTTTAGTAATTGTAAAAAAATAATTTTGGCAAGAAGCGTCCTTTTTTGTATTTTCTACACACATACTAAATGGAAATTTATTTCTGCTTTAGGGCTGATCTTTTAATGACCAGTTTTAATGACTAGCTAGATAAAACCCAGGGTTTGCTGTAATTTCATTCAAAGACATAATTACAGATGGTGATTGTGGACTTTAGAACTTAAGTACTCTTGCCTGCCAGGGACAGAAGAGCTGTAGTGGTCTTACCAAGTTTTCTGTTACCTTAGTTGAAAAAGTTGTAGACTGTAAAGTTTTTTCCAGAGCAGACATCTCTGTGCTCCTAAGATTTCACTGTGAATAGTGAATTACTACCAAATTATCCTTTATGCGCTGTTTGCTCTGATTCCTTAGCGATTATGTGCTATATTGAAGGGATATGAGCTGTCATGTGTTGGCAGTGATGGAGTAGGAATTACGCCAGTAGCTTTACAGCAGCCCTAGGAGTTAACATAAGCCACCACAATAATTATGAAATCATTTATAGTTATTAATTCAGACAGTTTGTTGAGAAAGTGAAATATTTCCTTGCCTATTCTCTAGTCGGGCAAGCGCTGTTCCCAGTGTTTCTGCTCTAGGCTTTAGAGTTCAAGATCTGCAAGATGAGTCCCTCTGCCAGATCGCTGGTGTGTGGGGAGCGGTGGAGCTGCAGCGCCAGCCAGAGATTTTTCTCGCTGGTCAGCGGCTGCACTCTGCTCGTGGAGGTTTATTCCCTCGTGCACGGGGTCCTGCACGTGGATGTTTTCCGTCATTCGGGCAGCAAAGGCCTGCTGAACATTCGGGATGTGCTCATCGAGGAGTGTCACGCTGAGCTGGCAGAGGAGTCATGCGAATCACAAGTACGTACTGACTAAGCTGCTGCTGCTTTTCTTACTCTAATTTATTTCAGTTCTGGCTGTCCTGCGAAGCTGAGCTGCAGCTTGACTAGTGGCAAGGTTAATACTTGAATAGGGCAATGTATTTTTGTTTGTGCATAATGCATATCGAGCTGTTGGCCGAAAGCATTGCTGCTTTGAGACCCCTTCTGGAAGAGACATTTTTTGGAACTGATTTCCTCAATTGAACTGCTCCACTATTATTTGAAGCTCTGAAAAACTGTAAATGCTTTGTAGTTTTAACTCTCTTCCAGTCTGATGTTTTATATAACCTGAAAACTCACCAGAACGTTGTTATTTGTGTTTGTATGCTAATATTTAGTTAGTTTCTTTGTGTAGGACCTTGGTAAAAATTTTGAAGAAATAATTGTTCAAGAGTTTTAACACTTCCATTGTTGTGTAGCAAAGCCATGATTTGCTCAAGGAATTATTTTCGGATGAAGCAAAGGAAAAAGAGCAAATGCCTGTATCTGCAAGACAGGAAGAAAAGCATCTCATTGAAAGATTGTTGAACTGTTTTTCTGAAAAGAAATCTGATGCACCAACCCATAAGGTAACTTGAGTGGTGGTTTTGGCCTGTCATCATGTGATCCTGCTTCTCACATTGTTAGGGTGGAGATGAAGACTGAAAGTACCACAAATAACAAAGCTGTGTTTGATAGGACATTCTACTTTCTGTTGGTAGAAAGCCTTGGTGTGACCACTGTCTCAGATTGATCTGCTGCAGCTTTAAGCAGAGTTTTGAAGTACAGCCTGAGAGCTAAGTGTTCCTGCTCTTCTAATTCATCTAAAACAGCACTTCGAACTCATGCAGAACAGAGATAAAATAGAACAGCTGAATGCAATGTTTCTGTACATGGTAGTCTTCATTATATAAGCCACAGCAAAAAAAAGCAAGTTTACAACCCTATCAGTTTTTCAGAAAATCTAAACATGGATTTTACTATACACAGTATTTCATTCTTTATCAGCTAGTAATAGGTAAGCAGCTGGGATAGGTGAAGCAGTGAACGCTCCAGTTACTGATGGTAATGATGCTTTTCCTCTGCCAGTGCCAGACTCAGAAATGTGTTTTGAGGTATCCAGTCACTACTGAGTTGGAATATAGAACAGGAAAACGTGTCCTGTTCCACATTGTGATGACAAGTTAGGCTTCATCTACATTCTGATTATTTTCCCATTTCAGACCTGACAAAATTTCAGGTTTTCAAGCATCTAATAATGCTCCATTTATGCACAGGAGTAATCCTGTTTAACTGTCCATTTCATAAATTGACATATTTTCAGGATTAAAGACTTCATCACATAAATAAAATTACCTGATTTTCTTAAGTGATCTATGAAGTTTGAATTCAAGTTTTTTAAGCCAGAGGAAAGTCATGAATCTGCAGCACCTGTGAAAATGGATAATTTTAGTTCAAGTGCCTCAACAAGCAAAGTTCACTTTAGATGAATGAAATGGAAGTGCCATACTACCAATTTAGCAACTCAGTGTAGCTCACTACATGCTGAAATGTGTTTGGCTTTAATTTATAAAGCATTTAGATTTGAAGAGATCCAGGTGCTGGCTAACTAGAATGTCATTTGTCTCTCTCCCTTTTTTTCAAGGTAAAAGTTTTTGGTCCGTTCAGTCCTTATCAGCTGAAATGCTACAGTCTGACCAGAATATCCCAATTCAGGTATGAGCAGACTTATTGTGAAGTATAGTCTTGTTCTTATCTTTCATGTTCAACAAATCAGCAAAAAACACCTAATTATTTTTACAGATTTTTTCTGAATTTTTATTCAGAAAAAATCTGTAATATTTTTTTTTTTATTGGAAAGACTGAAGGAGGAGTCAAGCCTGAATAGCATTAATACACACACTATTGCTATTTAAAATCTTAGAGTAGTTTTAAGGTGCATTATTGTCTTACTGAGACATTATTTATTAACCGTCATTTAAATCTATTAACAGTAAGCAGCTAGTTGGAGTTTGTGTTGGGAATGTAGATTTTTTACTTACATGTTTTTATGAGTTTTGGAGTTTTTTATTGTTGAAAATATTTCTTCCCCAGAAATGTTTTCATAAGTAATTTCTCTAGACTTCTGGTTTTATATGTGTAGTTCTGTGAGTAAATATGTCACTGTAGTTCTGTGTTACATCTTTTTGAGGTTTCATTTTCATTAAATTCTCCTTGGAGTTGTGTGATTTTTTTAAATTTTTTTTTCCTTTTGGTGCCAGGGTGTCTGATTTTAGGAGAAACGTCTTTGATGCCTCCTATTCATGGCCTGCTTGCCCTCCTCAGTATGCTCTTTGCTCCTGCAATAGAACTCAGGTATTTGTACATTTTAAAGTGGTAGTTTTCTTATAATTTTCATTAGGATCATCACATATTTGTATATACATTTTATATATTGTCTTCCTGGTATTTTTTTATGAGTTTTAGTATAGTATGTGGGTAAAATGTCCATGTACTTATGAATTGATGCTGCAGCCTCCTCTCATGATAAGGCATTACAGCTCCTGACAGTTGCGCTGGAAGCCTGGGAAGGTGGAATATAAACTGGGAATATTAAATCTACATGAGGAGAGGAACTTCTATAATTTTTTGTAAAAAGAGGAACTTCTATAATTTTTTGTAAAAGCTGAGCTCTGGTAGTGACATTAATGCTGTATTTTCTTGAATATCTGGTATTTGTAGACTGTCACTTCAGAATAGTGAAGCTTGCTTTCCTTTATTTTGCTTATGTATGTTTTTTTGTATGTTTTCTGAGTATATGTTTTTATAGCCAGAACTTCAGTTTTCTTTCATCACTGTATGTTTTAAAAACCAGTATGACTGAGTGTGAATGCCTCTCAGTGGTTTCAGCTTCTTTCAAACATGTGTCTTGCTCTGCATTGCTTAGACAAATTAATTTAAGTCTGTCTTCCTAAGAGTTTCGTTTCTTCTCCTTTTGGTGAGACTATTTTCTTTCTTTTTCATCTAGAGTTGATAAAAGTGGGAAGTATTTTACTGGTGTTCTTTGTGGTTTGGGTTGGAGTCAGACATCTAGGACTCCACTGCTTCCAGCAAATGATATGGAGGTGACATTTGATGTGCATTTCGGAGTGGAAGACATAAGAGAGGTAAGACTTGTGTAAGAATTTTCACTGCAGTAGGAATTCAGTAGAAGTCAGTGCATCTGAGCTTGTTAACTCTTAGTTGACATAAAAAGCTTTTTTGGACTGTAGGGTTGGAGTTTTTTGTAGTTTTGTTTGTTTGTTGGGTTTTTCTTAGGTTTTGTTTGCGTTTTTTAGTGTACTCCCTTTTTATAATCTCGGATTTTTATCAGGAGAAGCAGTTGCCCCCTCCCTACACTTGGAACAAGTAAGTTACTATAGAATGTTACACACTCCTCAAAATATAATCAGCAATTTTGCACCAACCAGAAGTCAAGACTTAGTAGTTTTTTTCTTAGGATTGTCATGTTTTTTACTGACAAGCAGAACACTGCTGCTTTACAGGCTTCAGTTTGATTTTACAGCTCTGTTAAGTCATATGTATTGAGCTACATCTCAGAGCAGCTCAGCTAAACAAATAGTAAAGCCCCTGCATTCCTCATTACTGCCTTTTGCTGCTCAGAGAGTGAGGTCTGTCAGAGTGAAGCATGTACATAACCTGTGCAGGACAGTGGCTATGTTTGACATGTGCCTGGGACAGTGAAGGACGTGCCCTGGTTAGGTGTGTGTGCGAAGCAGGTGCTTGGGGTGCTTCCTGGAGGTGTTCCAAGGATGCAGTGGAAATGCTGGTGCTCATATCTGTGAGCTGCTGTTTTCTGAAAGCACAGACGTGGCGTGATGGCTGTGTTTGTGGTGCCTTAGCCAGAATGGTAACAGCAAGCTGTTGTACATGTGAAAAATTAGGGACAGAGAGAGAACATGCTTGAAACTTTCACAGAAGGAATTCTGTGTTGGAAAAAGCCCAGGCAAATGGTAGCCTGTATATTTTATGGCATTTCTGAGCAACCTTAAAAACTCTGATATCAGGAGACTGAAATACTAACATCACTGACCACCAGAGGTGCAGCTGCTGGAAGAAGCATTTTTGAAGCTTCAGATGTTTTTACTTACGCAAATAATATTCTATTTGAAGTTCAGTGATGTGGATGCCACCACCACCATGTCAGTATAATTCGATACCGACCTCATGTTGGGTTAGTGTTTTATGTTCTGTAACTGGTGTTTTACAGATAAACAGTCTGAGGACAGCCATGAATAAGCTGCTCTGTGAGCAAGCAGTGTATTCTGGACAAGAGCAAGTGGCACAGCTGCAGGAGAATATTCGTCAGAAGCTCCTGTGGTAATAATTTTGTAGAAATAAGATCTCCTGTTTCACAGTCTCAGCAGAAATGAGTGATTGCTTGAAGCATAGTTCAGATTAGGCTTTGGAAAAATAATACATGCTCTCATTTAATAATGTATTTAATTTACTTTGTTTATTTATGAAACAGTATACTAAACAACCTTAGACTTCTTGTGGAAGCACTGGTTCTTCAGGGAAGCCAAATCACTTATAAAGTCACTTATTTAGTCATAAAACCTAGACTGTAAAACCCGTTGTACAGGATGTCAGCTCTTATGTATTCTTGTTTTTTTGCACCCAAGACAAAGCTAATGGAGTCCTAAGGTGTAACAGTGCAGAAAGATTTAGAATTCTTTCTTCCTGTACATTAAATTTGAATTATGTGTACTGCCTTTCCTCCCTCAGTAGACCTGTGCAGAATAGGCGTTGGCTAAGTGAATTTCAGTCCCAGACAAATTCAGGAACTGAAATAAGGCCACATCTACCTTGTTTTCCCAGCAAGCCTCCCTCCTTCTTCTAAGTGAAGCAGTGCTTCTGAAAAGACCATCGTGATTCAGTGCAGCCAACCTGGAGAATTTTTTCAGCTTGTAGTTTGGGAGGAGTGCAGTGAGCTAGCCCAGGAACAGCTCCTTCTGTCTGTCCCTGCTGAGCATAATGTGAAAAATCTTCACTTGTTTATACACTCAGCATGAATTTTAGTGCTGTCTGTATCATCAGGAGAATTTTCTCATCCTGACCTGGATCTCTACTAAACTATCTTTAAAAGAGCTCTAGTCCAGAGTCCATAACATAACTTTTACAAGCCTCATCTCTAAGAAATATGACCCTTTTTTTTTTTCAGTTGAGCTTTGCTGAAGTAACTGCATGATGTCAGAGTTAGGCATTTCATTGTGCTGACAAAGATCAGAACCCTGCTCTTACCCAGGGTTATCAGAATGATTATCAGAGCAGCTGTTCATGCTGATTTGAAAGGTGTTCCTTGGTTTTGAAAGTACCTGCTCTCTTATCTGTGGGGAAAAAAACCTACTAAATTGCCTTAAGTTAAAGGCAAGCATCCTTAGTTTCTATTTCCAAAACTCCAAATAAAATTTGGGTGTGTTCCATAGTAAATTAGCAAGTCAACCTTACCTTTCAAGGTGCCAGAAATGAAATTAGAAGAGCACAAGCAATGGAGAAGTTGAGGAGTGTGGATAGGCAGAAAGAGGCAAAGCCACAACCCCTGTCTGGAGGTGACTGTGACAGTAACAGTTAATGCTGGGACATCAACACTTACATGCTAAATTGAAGAGTCACTGCTATTTGTTCAGACATGTGAATACTTGCTACAATTTCGGCACCTATTTTGGGCTGATTGTTCAGACATCTCCAGCCAGCTGGAGGGGAAGGGTCAGACCTTGGCACAGGTCCTGGGCAGTGACGTGTTCCCAGCTCAGGCAGCCTGACTCGGTCACTCTCATCAGCCCCGGGCTTTTTTGTCTTCAGGATTTTATACCTTTCTGTGGTAGCCTTTTCTCCCCTGGATTTTGCTGTACATTTATTGGTTGTCTTCCAACCATCCTACAGAGATTTTTATTTAAATTTTTAGTTTATATTATTTTTGTATGTTTTTATTTGAAGAAATAAACAGTCTGATTATTGTAATGATTTCTTCTTTTCCCTTGTGTAAAATATTACTTGGTTTTGAATATTTTTTCCCAATTGTACTTCCTGTGTTTTGGAAAAACCATTTATTAATTCAAGTACATAGGTAAAAATTTAGCCTGAACAGTCTTTCATAACTGTTTTCCATTTTTCAAAAGCTAATTGTATTTACAACATGTCACCACTACTTAAGACTAAAATCAGTTTTTGAAAAACACATCTAGACAGAATTAATTAATGTCTACTACTGTTGTACTTTGCACAGCTTGAGGAAATAACTGGAGCAGACAGACAATCTATAGTAATTGAGTTGTCATGCAAAACAAAATACCCTAAAAATAGCTATATTATACATTCTAGTGAGTAAGCATACATAAAATGTAAGGAATAAATTACAGTTGCAAATTCTAGTGTTTTGTAAAAAAAGAATCTCTTTATTTTCTTTAGAAGAAAATACATTCTGATACATGATATGTCCTTGTAAAAAATTGTGTTTTGACTTATTCCACTGGACAGGCAAAGTACAGAGAAGTGAACAAATCAGACTAGGTTAAGAGGGAAATTTAAGATTCCCTTCAGCACAGACACCTTGTAAATACCTGGTTGTATCTCATGTAAAAAATCCTTTGTCTTTATAATTAACCAAATACAAGTGTATTTCTTCAGGCTGTATTTATGTAATTTCAGTTTAATCTGCAAATCAAAGCCTCGAAACATAATTGATCCTACCTGGTATGAGAATCCATATGCATGGAATCAGGTAAGGCTATACATTTTAAAGGGGTTTTTTTTGGGGTTGGTTTTTTTTTTTGTTTTTTTGGGGGTTTTTTTTGAGGAGTTTGAGTACTCCAGTACAGTTAATTAAGAGTGTTGAAAGTGAGAACTTCTGTGATTATTGAATTAGAAAATACCAAAAAGCACTGCAGGGTTAAATTTAAAGCACAAGAACTTTTATTTATGTAATCACTTATGACTGTTCATACCCTGTTTTTGTAGAGTCTGTTTAGTTGTTGGATGGCTTGTTTTTAATTTTGTGTATATAAATATTTAATGTTTTTAAACAGAACCCTCCATGGTGTAGGCTGAGAGAGATTGTAAAGGCAACTTTTTCACATTTGTTGTTAGTTAAAATTTTCTGTTTCTGTCAAGCAGCTGTAGCTACATTTTCCTGAACGCAACACATTTTAGTTTTGTTTTGGGTTGCTGTGGTTTGAGGTGGATTTTCCTTTCTAGGCAGACAGAAATATGGCTTATTTTGGAACAGATGGGGCGGGGTCAGGCAGAAGGGCAGTTTTTTCAAGACCCAGGAGGGTTTCATAGGAAAACTCTCCTAGCTTCCTATTCTGTTAGAAATCTTACCTTTCTTTCTGTAAGGGCCTCTGCAGGCCACTGGATTTCCTGAAGAACCAGTAGGGTTCCTTAATTAAAAAGGGGGTGAAGAATTAGTGGGTGCAGGAGTAAAAGTGCTACACACACCTTCCCTGTGCTTCTCCCACCTGCAGCCCATAAAGGAGGGTTTTGGGTCACCCTTGAAAAGAGGGACAACAAAGAACACCAAGGGCACTTACTTCTAAAAGGCATTTTTTAGAGTGTGTTGTGATACACTGCCTTAGACCAAAGTGTTTCTTTTTTTGTATTACAAATTCAGTTGTCCTTGGATTTAGAAAGATAATATACTCATTGCTGCTGGTGTTTATCTTTTATAACAAACTAATGTGTAGGCCTTGGATCAGGATTTTCCCCACTGCATCTGAAAAATCCCAGGACATCTTAGATTATAAAATACTGCCTGTAATGCTTTGGAATTACTTGTGGAATAGTGTTCTGAAATCATGGCAAACCATGAGATAAAGCATTTTGTAGCCCTGACTCTTTTGTTGCAGTATGTAGCATGGAACTGAAATTCCTGTATGATTTAAAACTCAGAACTCCTCAAGACTTTTTCTCAGCTGTGTTATATAGGAAAGCATTAGGAATGCATTCTGACTTTCATCTTGCTTCTTTTGACTAGGTGGATTCTCAGCGTATTATTGACGAGTCTGAAAAGCAGCATGAAGGAGGAAATTTTGTATATCAGCTTCACAAGCTTGTTTTGTTGAATGATTAAGTATTTCTAGAAGTGTTTCAGAGATGAGGTATTATTAGTCTAAAAATTACTTCTGCCTTGTATGCATGTTTTGCAAGACTGTTCCTTAAGATGAGTACAAGTGTACTGACATACAGTTTGGAAAATGTTCCTGTGTTTCTGAAAAAGTTGATGTTTGCTGGCTTAGAGCAGACAAGTTTAGTCATAAAAGAAACTGATGTAAATCAGGATGCAATTTTCATTTTAGTAATACTTCTGAACAGGTTTATCACAAAGTATATGAAAGATGAAGCAAATCCAGGCTTATTTGTTCATATTAAGGGGCATGACTTCTTTTGTCTGTAATTACAAGTTGCATTTTCCTGTTTTCTTTTTTACTAGTTTAAAAATGTATGCAACAAAGGGGGTTGGGGTTTTCCTTAACCAATAAATAAAAGTCAGAAGAAACTGATGATCTAAATGATGTTCTGCTCCAAGCTATATCTTCATATACTGGATACAGTTTTTTTGTTAATTTTTTTGTACAGCAAAACATAACATGATTTATTTTCTTGTATGACAGAAGAATGCTTTTGAATTACTGATTCATGGCACTTTGTTTCATCCTTTCGTCTTATTTTTACCTGGGAGATCTTTAGCCCTAAAAATGAGGTCAGTGGTTTCAGACTACAATGCAGAAATTAAATAAAATGTTTTTGTCTCTTCCCTTGTGTGTGGTCATGCTTAATAAAAGCTAAGTTTAGTCATTAATGGTATGTGATTGCATTCATGAAGTACATGAATTCAGTATACAGAAGAGACATATACCGAATTTGCACTGTTCAGTTAGTGATTTGAAGGTCGTGTAATATCCAGTCATCCTCTGGAGGACAGAGAATCAGTGGTCACCATAAAGAAGTGGCAGATCTGTGGAAAATAAGGAGGTGCTTAAAATAAGCAATTATTTTAAGGTGTAATTAAACAGAGGGATGACTGTGTAACAGGCAGTTTCAGTGGTTTATTACAGCATTACCTTCTTAGAGCCATTTTAGTGATTCTTGGGAATTAGAATAGTTAGTGAGAGAGGTCTAACGGAAAAATTGCATCTCAAGTGGCTTAGACAAGAGTATTTCTCAGCCAAGTGTTGTACACCAATCAAGTGTTCCTGTTAAACACCTTCAGGGGCAAGTGGAACAGGCAGGATTTCAAATCTTGCTTTGTCTATTAATGATGGGAGTTTCCATAGGAAAAGGAAATCTGGCCATGCACAAAGACATGAGAAAAAGGAATTAATCGACATAAGCAACAAGCAATTTTTAAATTTTTTATTTTTTTCCATTTTTTTATTTTTTAAAATTGTTAAACTCTGTTTCTCCCAAGTGTGGGTCTGTGTGTGTGACTGTGCTGCCACCAGGTGGGGGCTGCTGTGATACGGGATAGAACAGTCCTGAAGGAAACTCAGCATCCTTCAAGTCAGCCTTGCCTGGATGATGTTGTTTATTTGCAGATGAAAATATACAGTTACTAACATTTCAGAAGGAGCTGTTGCATTTTATTGTTTGTTTTAGGCTTCAACAGCATTGCAAAATAACTTGAACTAGGTTAAGGTTAGTAGATTCAGGATTTCCCTCTCAAAGAGTAATAGTATATCACACTGGAGAAAGAAGTATTGTAAAGTGTCTGTGTGGCTGTGGACCTGATCCCACTCAACTTTTTGGCTTTTGGGGGCTAATTCCGTAAGAAAAAAAGGCCATGACTACTTGTCAATACTCACTTTATCTCCAGATGTTCATCAACACTGAGCAGAATGAGACTTCACTTGTCATAATTAATAAAAGATTTATGTATTTCTTCATTGAGCTCAAGGTGAAAGTATTTGAATCTGTAAATGGTCAGATTAATACTCCTGCATGTCTCCAGTAGTAATGATAAAGTGACAGGCTCATCTGATAGGTGCTTCTAGAGTCTTAAACAATGTGCATTGACTATTATTCATAATTTGTCCCACAGCTACAGTGACACCTGATAGCAGTTTTAAATCAGAATGAGATTTTTTTTTTTGCCATTCCATGTAATTAATTTTGGAATTTACTGCCATGGGCTCTGATGGAAATCAAATATATAAAGAAATAGAAAAATAAACTGGAACTCCAGGGAAGGCAGATCCTTCAATAACTTAAAATTTGAGGAACTGAACTCCCTACCTTCCTGAATTCCAGAACCTCAGAAAATGAACTGAAAGCCTGTCTATTTTTATCCTTACCCCAGTGTTTCCTTATGACAGGTATATAGGTGGAAAAATGTTGGTTACAAATCCTTTTACAGAGAAGTCACCTGTGGTTCCTCAACTGATTGCTGGTAGTGCTGCAGAGCACTTGCTCTGTTTTTCAGGAGAATCATGGTCAGGATGAACAGCAAAAGGAAAAGGATGTAACACAGTTGGGAATTTCCTAATTCCTTCCCCAGAAAGGGTGTGTGTAGGGATTTAGGGGGCTTTGAATGAACCCCAACTGAGTTCTGCTGCAGACACAACCTGCACCATAACACTATGGCAGGTACTGTATAGTAACTCCAGCTGCTGGAGTACACTGTGTTTGTTGACACATCCACAACTAAATTTTCTACGTAAACAAACACTGTGCATCTGCTGGAAGGAAATAACTTTTTTCAAAAGAATTTAAAAATTGCATCTAATTCCTGTTGTGTATCAAAGAAATGCATTCCACTTCATATATTTCTGGCACAGATCTCAAAGCATCTTTATTCATTATACTCCTTTCACTATACTACACAGAGTTGAAAAAAGTAATCAAGATCACATGAAATGAATGTGATGATGAGTTTTAAACTCTACAGAAAGTTCATTTTAGGTTCCTCCAGAAAGAACAACACTGAAGTTCCATTTGAGCAGGATTACTAGCATTGGTCAGAAATTCAACACTCTTGTTCACAGAATAAGCAGCTTTTGGAAATGTTTCCAGGGGGGGCTGGGGGGAGAAGTTATTTTCCTGTTTTTTCAACATTACTGTTTATTTATTTTGTTTTTTCAATACAAATATTTTTCATTTTAAAAAATCAAAACTGTGTGCTATTAACTGCATACACCTGATAATCACTTTGTATATTGGAATACAGAATTCTGAATTCATCCAGATCAGAGAAGTGACCCCAAGTAAATTACACAATGATGTCCAGTAATGACTCATTGCACAAAGAGAAGGGTGGAGGACAGAAGACCAAGTGGTACCACTTCCAGAGAAACCATCAGCAGAATTCATAGGAAAAACACCCAAATAAGAGATACTGAAATAGAAAAAGAAACACAGTGGAGATGCTCAGAAAGCTGAGGCACATGCATTTCTCTGGAACGATGCAACAGGCAACACACAACCTAAGGGCAGAGAACTCAAGCTTAGAACTTGCATTTCCAGGGAAGAACTGATTGCAGCATTTCTAATAGCTCAACAATAGACCCAAGCTGTACATCTCAGAACATAAGCTTGGAAGCAACAAAAGTGCCTCTGAAAACTTAATTGGCAAAGCTACGTGCAAATAAGTGATTGACTTGGGAGCAGAGAAGAATGATGGCCTTGGGTGACTTAATGGACACGAGTTCTGGACTTGCTGCAATTTTAAAGCAGGCAGTTTTGGAACCAGAATAACAAAGAGGCATTTAACAGAGGAAGGTGGTATTTAGCATTCTGTACCTCACAGCATCCCACACATGAGAAGGAATATTGATGGCACTTGTTAGAAAGAGTTTCTGCCCTCACAGCCGGTGTGTTCAGGTCTCCAACAGCTGGATACCAACCCTACAGTCTGTCAGCATGACCTTTCTGATGTATTTCACTGCTGTTCATGAGGGCAATAGACTCCCCATATCTGCTGAATGAGCTTAGGCCTCCTTTGAAGAATTCAGTGTTCTTTCCTGGAACAGTGGAAAGAGAAAGCAGCAGGAAAGTAAAAGAGCAAGCCACAAGAAAACTTACTCCCTCTTACTTCCTCTGCCTGCTGCAGGTAGAAGAATTCTGCATTTAAGCAAGATAAATCATGCACATAAATCAAGATGGGAGGGAATATCATCTACCTGGGAGGAGTTTTGGGAGCTGGATGGGTAGATGGTGGCAGAAGATAATGTTTGAAGACAGAGGAGTGTTGAAGATAGGGACAATTAGGAAAAACAACGAAGCAAGAAAGTATCGCTTTGTTCCTGAGCTGGTGCTTGAAACAGGTGAAAAGCAGAGGAAGGTCAGGATTGGGCAGAGACTGACCAAGGAGGAAAGCTCCAAGGCTCTGCTTAGGACTTTCATCATTAAGGGCCACCCATAAAGTGTTTTTGACAGGGCTGAAAGAGGAGGTGGGGAACATAAATGAAACTGCTGTGGGTCTCAGGAGAGGGGAAACTGTTCCAAGGCAGGTGGTGCCTGGAGTGCCCAGACTCCTTCCCAGCTTCAGTCTCCATCTTTCCTCCTTCTCAAAGTGCCAGTGACCTACACCCTGCATCTGTGAGCTGTGCCAGCTGATACCCCCAGTGCACAGAGGTTGCCAAAAGATGAAGGGAACGTCACCTTTGGTTCCTTGACGGATTCTTGATAGTGCTGCAGAGCACTTGCCCTGTTCTTTCAGGAGAATCATTGTCAGGATGAACAGCAAAAGGGAAAAGGATGTAACACAGTTGGGAATTTCCTAATTCCTTCCCCCAAAAAGGGTGTGTAAGGATTAGGGGACTTTAAATGAACCCAGCTGAGTCCTGCTGAGCCTGTGACCATTTGCACCATGGCAGCTGTGCTCTCTGCAGGGAGGGGGACTGAGAACATGAGGGTGAGAGTGGATGTCAGTGTGAAGTGATCCATTTCCAGAGAAAACAGGACTGTCCTCTTTTAGCTGTATGGAATTTGAGGAGCTACAGGGGAGTGCATGTAGATCCTGGAGAAGCTTTGACCTTTCCTATCAACACTGTGCTGCTGTTGGCATCGATTCCAGGAGCTTGTCTATGGATTTTACAAGAGCTTTTGTTTGCAGTGCAAAGAGAAATTTGAGTTACCAGGAAAAGGAAGGCCAGAGATGGAATTTGAGTAATGAAGGGATGGTGGCTTTACAGGCCATAGTGAGTGCACTCCCAACAGGCTCTGCCTTGCTGGACCAGTGTCCCAGGTTTATTTACAGTGACCACCTCCAGCTGCAGAACTCTGTCACATCCAGAGTGAGAAGTGCCTGAGACAAAGAGCTGTTAAAGAGTCATGCAGAAGATGGCCTTTGTGAACAGAACTGTCTTGGAGAAACTACAGCAAAGCTGCAGCTTGCTAACAAAAGGCAAGATCCTCTTCTCCAAAACCAAGTTTTGTGGAACTTGTTTGATTTTGAGAAAGGAAAACACTGTTGTCTTGATCTCCAGACCAACTGTGAGATCTCTCACAACTAACTGCCGTCTCAAAATCAAGTCCAGCACATAGTCTTCCTGCAGGCATTCTGGAAGCTCTGGTGAACCTTTATTTATGTTGCTTCACAACAGCTAAGCTGACTGGCTAGCTAGAGCACCCATCAAAAATAATGAATCTCTTATGAAACCTCCATATATTTGACCCATTTTTGAGGATCATCTTCTCTGATCTCAAGAACTGTCCCTTCCAACAAGGAAGGGATCAAGCAGAGGTAAAAGCAGGTCTGCATGGATGAATAAGGAACTCCAGGTAAGAATTAAGCGTGAAAAGTGTTCAAGAGGTGGA